TGTTGCGGGTTGGGTTGGACCCAGCCCAATCCGAACCTTTCTCCACACAAAAAGAGGCAGCATTTAAGGCTCGGTATCCCAGAGCCCTGAAGCCTAAACCCTGAACCCTAAGCCCTAAACCCTAAACCCTAAACTCTAAACCCTAAACCCTAAACCCTAAACCCTAAACCCCAAACCCCAAACCCTAAACCCTAAACCCTCCGTCTGCTCACTGTGCTGGCCTTGATCGGCGAGAGGGAGAGAGAACGGCAGCATCCTCAGACCTTTTCAAGGCCATGCAGTTGAGATCCAACACTAGGTAGGCCCTTGGGATATTTAATACTAGGGTTTAGGGTTTAGGGTTTAGGGTTTAGGGTTTAGGGTTTAGGGTTTAGGGTTTAGGGTTTAGGGTTTTATTTATAGTGTCCCTTTATGGGGTCTAAGGGGCTCATATTCAAGGATTTCTTTCTGAGGGTTTTAAGGGCCATCCTAGTACCCCAAACCTTCGGGACCAATGAAGCCTGGAAGGGTCAGGGTTTAGGGGTTGAGGGTCCAGGGGGGGGGCCAAAGACCGTATTTTTTTTTTTTTTTTGGGGGGGGGGGGGGGGGGGGGGGGTTCTATAGTAGAATAGGTTTGCTGCGATTCTTACTTTCAGGGGCAAGCCCCCAAGGAACAACCGAAAACCTTCAACCCTGAGTGTTCAGGGTCTAGGGTTTAGGGTTTAGGGGTTGGGGGTTTAGGGTTGAGGGACAGATGTTTGGAGAGCCCTCAACCCTAAAGCCCAAGCCCATCTCGAAACCCTGAAGCTAGGGTTTCAGGGGTTGCTTGGGTTTCGGGCTTGGTTTCCCTAAACCCTAAGCCCTAAACCCTAAACCCTAAACCCTAAACCCTAAACCCCGGGTTTCTTGGGTTTCGGGCTTGGAGTTCAGGGTACAGCTGAGGACCTTGAACGGAGTCCGCAAGCAGCGCCTCCATTCCCCCGGTTTGAGGTTTAGGGTTTAGGGTTTAGGGTTTAGGGTTGAGGGTTTAGGGTTTAGGGTTAAGTTTCGGGTGGTTGGGGTTGAGCGTTTCTGTAACAAGCTCATGAGATCTTACCTTGCCCGCGCCCTCCCCTCTCTCACAACAACGACCTTGAATGTGGGGGTACTGGTTTTGGTCGGAGGCGTACAAAACAGATCTCACGAAGAGTGCGACGGAGCAAGTCTCGTTTTTTGAGCTTCGCGTGTGGCTAGACTAACTTGCTCAGCTTGAGAGCCAAGGCATCTCAATTGTCGGGTATATGTATCCTGTTTCAGGGATTGTGCTTCTTTGAGTACTCGAAGCCTTGAGCACTGTGAGTTGGGATGTTCCTCCTTAAACTAAGACTAACAGTCCTTAATGGGGATTATAGTACGCCCTATTATGCTCCCTATGCTGGACGGTTAGTATAAGGGTTTAGGGTTTAGGGTTTAGGGTGAAGGTTTAGGGCTTAGGGTTTAGGGTTTAGGGTTTAGGGTTTAGGGTTTAGGGCAACCCTAAGCCCAAAACCCGCAGTGCTCTTGAGACCGGTCCCTCTGAGCGGGCCCAAGCGTGGCTCCCATTTGCAAGCGGCTTCCATTGTGCCCTCCACCCATGTCGGAAGTATCTGCCGCACCGACGGGCGTCCGTGCCGAAGGAGGTTTAGGGTTTAGGGTTTAGGGTTTAGGGTTTAGGGTTTAGGGTTGAGGGGTTGAGGGGTTGAGTTGTTGAGGGGTTGAGGGGTTGAGGGGTTAGGGGTTTAGGGGTTTCGGGGTTTCGGGGTTTCAGAGTAGGTCTAAAGGGCCCTGGAGATATGACTTCTGGACTGCGTACTCTTCGTGGTCTGCACTATCTTTCTCAGGGCTTCGGCATGACACCCTAAACCCTAAACCCTCAACCCTAAACCAGCTTTATGCTCCAATATGTGCCCTGAACTTCACCACCCTCAACTCTCACCCCTGCAACCCCTTCGGGGGCATGTCTTCGGAACCCACACGTCGTACTTAGAGGTTCACAGGTGCTTGTAAGCCGAGTTATGAGTCTACGCATAACCGACTTTCAGGACCTAGGGGGCCTATAAGTGCAGTCGTAATTTGAGCTATGAGCGCCCATGAACCTCCAAGCAGGTCAGACATGACTTTTGAGATGGTTGAAAGGTTTACCCGAAGCCCTGTAGAAGCTCTCAGCCCTCCACCCCGATAAACAATGGGACCGTAGACGTACCCTCTACGAGTAGAATCCGTATCTGGACCACAAGCCGTCTTAGGGCCCCATTTCTTCCCCCAAGGTCAGAACCAGCACAGTAAGATAAAAGGGACTCTCCCACTGCGCTTTCACTTTTGTTCATGGTCGTCTCGGTGCTTTCCATCTCGGCCCTAAACCCTAAACCCTAAAGCCTAAACCCGTTTAGGGTCATTGGGGTTTAGGGTTTCGGGGCCCTTGAAGCCCCACCCTAGGACAGCGGTTGAGGGTTTAGGGGTTTAGGGTTTATAGGGTTTTAGGGTTTTAGGGTTTAGGGTATGTTCAGGGCGTGGGGTTGAAGAGCGCTGGTGGCCCTATCCAACAGAGGCACGGCAGCCCGCAGTGCATCGAAGATCGCTGAGCCGAGGCCGGGAGAGCCCAAAGGAGAACGGGGAGTAGTAGTAGTAGTAGTAGTAGTAGTAGTAGTAGTAGTAGTAGTAGTAGTAGTAGTAGTAGTAGTGAGGGGGGGGGGGGGGGGGGGGGGGGGGGGGGGGGGGGGGGGGGGAGGGGGAAGGGGGGGGGGGGGGGGGGGGGGGGGGGAGGGTTAGGAGTTAGGATTTAGGATTTAGGGGTTGGGGTTTAGGCTACGGGTCTGGGGGCTTTAGGTTTCAGCTGTTGTTTGTTTTTGTTCTTGGGGGGGGGGGGGGGGGGGGGCGCGGGGGGCTTGCGCTTCTTTCATCATTATTATTATTATTGTTGTTGTTGTTGTTGTTATTATTATTGTTATATTTTTTTTGTTTGGGGAGGGGGTTGTTTAGGGCTTTAACTGTTGGGGTTGAGGCTTACAACGGGCTTAAAGAGGTGGGCGTTTTTTTGTGCGGGGGAATGTTGAGGTTTGCTTGGGAGCATGGTTTTTGGTTTAGGGTTTCGTGATAGGTATGGGGAGCATGAGCGAACGAGTACAAGTCTTACCCTTGGGCCTCCCTCGTTAAGAACCCTTTGGTGAACCCGCCCCCCCCCCCCCCCCCCCCCCCCCCCCCCCCCCCTAAAGTGACACCTAAACCATAAAACCGAACACCCCCGCAAACGGTTCAACGATCCCAGCTTAGGTCCAGCGACCTGGAGAAAGGATCCACTGTCAAGCAGGCTGTCTGGCCAGTTTTCGGCATCTGTTGTGAGGCAAACCTCGGTTTAGGGTTTGAGGTTTGGGGTTGAGCCCCCCTGCTCACCAAGTTCGCTGTAATCAAGGGTTTAGGGTTTAGGGTTTAGGGTTTGGGGTTTAGGGTTTAGGGTTTAGGGTTTAGGGCCCTGAACCCGAAAACCTTCTTCTTGGGCCACATACTCCCCATACTGAGAGTTTGGGGGTTGGGGGTTAGGGTTAGGGTTCGGGTCTAGGTTCCTGTGCCCTAAACCCTATAACCCTAAGCCCTAAGCCCTAAACCCTAAACCCTAAACCCTAATTAAACCCTAAACCCTAAACCCTAAACCCTAAACCCTAAACCCTAAACCCTAAACCCTAAACCCTAAACCCTAAACCCTAAACCCTAAACCCTGCCTGAACCAGGCAGATGCATCTTGCCAGCTGCATTTTTCCTTCTCCGACTTGAGGAGCTTTCGCTCGATGGTCTGTTCGGCTTCTGACGGCTTGCATTTGCATGTTCCTAGCCTAGGACGCAGAGTAGGCCCTGAGCCCTTTTTTTGGGATGTAGGTTCCCTTATCAAACCAAAAAGGGCACTCTTGTCATTCCTAGGTTGGACTTGGGTCTAGGTTTTCTTGCAACTTCGGGCTTAGGGCGTGCCCTAAGCCCTATACCAAGCCCTAAACCCTAAGCCCTGACGGCTAAACCCTAAGCCCTAAACCCATTGTGAACTTAAGCTTCTGACGCTCGTGGACGAGCCCTTGTGGAAGTGTTCTGATCAGGGTTCAAGGTCGGTGTCCCCCACGCCTGGTGTATCCCGTGAGTCCGCAAAGGAGTGGGGTCTAGGGTTATGCACCTAAAAAGGGGCTATGGTGGTAGAATTGCAGAGGTTTAGACCCCCCATTGTGTCCGGAACTGAGATATCTCGCTGCACACTTTTCAGGGATCCTACCCCTAAAACCCCAAACCCGACACCCTAAACCCTAAACCCTCCGAGTACCTGTCAGGTACCCCAAGTCTGAAGCTCCATCGTGTCAGGAACCCTAAACCCTACACCCTAAACCCTAAACCCTAAACGCCAGGAACTGCGGCATCTCCCTGCACTTCTTCGCCTTGGGCTTTGCGGTGGGGGGGCTGGATGCCATCTTCGTGAACGTCCTCGAGGGCCACTCGTGTGGAATCCAATCTGCAGGTGTACATATGTGTATGTACATATACACACATATACGTATGTATATATATATATATATGTATATGTATATATATAGATATAGATATATAGATGTAGAGATATCTATCTATCTATCTATCTATCTATCTATCTATCTATCTATCTATATGTGTATATATATAGATATACATATGTCACTATTACTAGTATATGTAGGATTCAAGGGTTTCGGATTTTGGGGCGAGATGAATCGTTCAACGTAGAGAGGAGACCAAACTCAGGGGGGCCCAGGAAGGCTGGACCGTTTGAGCCCCTTTAGGCCCTAAACCCTAAACCCTAAACCCTAAACCCTAAACCCTAAACCCTAAACCCCCCTGCCAACAAACCAACAAATAGCAACACAAGGGCTCGAGCGTACAGGGTTCTACAAGGAGGGGCCCCCTTACTATACTAACTATAGTTAAGGGACTTACAACCTTATTTAGGATCCTTATATCCTAATTTAGGGTCCTTATCACTCTACTTACAACTAGGGGGCCCCTCCTGGTAGGACTTCTTTGTGGTGCTTTACTGTAACTTCACATCTTCAGCCTTTTTGGGGTTTATTGGGTTTCTTAAGAAGGCAGCTGCAAATTAACTTTACAGCTACCCTGCTAAGAGCAGCCAAGTACGGCTTGTAGGGTTGTGTCGTGTTCGAGTTGGTTCGTCTTTCGGGGTTGTGGGGTGAGCCGGGTGAGGTGGCGAGGCTCCGCTGGACGGAGAACTCGTCAGTCGGCGCTGCTTTTCAAGTTTGGGGTGTAGGGTTTAGGGTTTAGGGTTTCGGGTTTAGGGTTCAAGGGGTACAGGATTTCTAGGGACTGGGGAGGGTGATGCCTGGAAACTCAGAACTCCACACCCCAAATTCAATGTCAATGTCACTGAAACATCGAACCCCTGAACCCGAAACCCAAACCGTGAGATTTCCTTTGGGGTTTGTGACTGTGAGGGCCCCTCGAATGGGCCCAATATCTCACAACCAGTCTTTTGCTTTAGGCCCGCGGTATCGCAGTTAAGAGAACAACCACCCAATGGCGCCCTACATCCTTCAACAGTGTCATCTTGGGGCAGCCCAGGCTACCTCAATGTACCAAGTGAGATCATGAAAGGCGGGGCGGAGGGGAGGGGGAAATTCTTGGCTTCAATGCAAGTAGAGAATAGTTTACCCCAAAAAGCCCCCACAACTGAGGGTCTAAGCGAGACCTCAACTCTAAATCCCTTTTTCAGGGGGTTGACTGTGGATAGGTTTCTTTTGCTGGGTGTCATGCTTTGGGCATTCAGTTTGGTCATGGCTGGCTCTCTGTTATACATGTTGACGTATATGCGTGTTTGTTATTGTGTGGGATATATGATGTACATGCATGTGCATATGCATGTGCGTGGGTGCGTCGTTTTTTGGGGATGCCCAGGAATAAAAAGCCTTACCACCTATGGATTTCGGGACCCCAGTCTCCGAGTTGGTTAGGCTTCAGGGATGTAGGGTTTAGGGTTCACGGGCTAGGGTTTAGGCCTTAGAGTTTAGGCTTCTGGGTTTTCGGGGTCAGGGTGTAGGGTTTAAGGCTTCGGGTTCAGGGTGTCTATAGGGTTTAGGGTTCAGGGTTTCAGGGTTCGGTGTTCAGTGTTTAGGATTTAGGAGTCCGGCGGGAGCCCTGCTGAAGGTGGGACGAACCTTGCCACCATGCCCCCTGGGTCGCAGCTACGAAACCCTAAACCCTAAATCCTAAACCCTAAATCCTAAACCCTGAATCCTAAACCCCAAACCCTAAACCCTAAATCCTAAACCCTAAATCCTAAACCCTAATCAAGACACAACACCTCAAGTCCACGAGCCTTACCAGCCCAGCAAGCCCTGAACTTGAGCCTCAAACCCACGCCCAAACCCTAAGCCCCAAAAGCTTCGGCGTTTAGGGTTTAGGGTTTAGGGTTTAGGGTTTAGGGCTAGAACCTGGGTTCTGCACACCTCTAAACCCCCCTGAAGCCAAATTTGAACCCTGAAGCCAAAAGAAGTGCGTCGTCGCGCGCCCCACCCCCAGGCCGGGCATCTTCACAGTGTTCATGGGCATCCTCAGCGACTTACCTTAGAGCCAAAAGAGTTTAGGGTTTAGGGCTTTAGGGTAGGGTTTAGGGTTTAGGTCTTCAGGGTTTAGGGCTTTAGGGCTTTAGGGCTTTAGGGCTTTAGGGCTTTAGGGCTTTAGGGCTTTAGGGCTTTAGGGCTTTAGGGCTTAGGGTAGTAGTTAAACCTTCTGTTTGGGAGGGAGGGGAGGGGGCGGGGGGAGCCTGGGTTTCCTTCTGCGCAAGACTAAGACAGCATGGCCTCTGTTTTTTTTTTTCCATTGGTTGTCCCTAAACCCTACTGTAAGCCCTAAACCCTAAACCTTAAACCTTAAACCCTAAACCCTAAACCCTAACCCCTAGACCCTAAACCCTAAACCCTAAACCCTAAGCCCTAAACCCTAAACCCTAAACCCTAAGCCTGTTAGAGAAGTAAGGCGATGCCCGGCCGGTCTGGGGCTTCCGGAGGCGGCCGTACATGGCCGGAGGCCCGCGCAGGGACGACTAGGGTTTAGGGTTTAGGGTTTAGGGTTTAGGGTTTAGGGTTTAGGGTTTAGGGTTTAGGGTTTAGGGTTTAGGGTTTAGGGTTAGGGTTTAGGGTTTAGGGTTTAGGGTTTGGGGTTTAGGGTTTAGGGTTCAGGGTTAAGGGCAAGGCCTCCACCAGCGTCATTTTATCTATCCCAAAATGTCAGCATTTTCTTGGAGGGCGGGTATCAACCCCAGCCCCAAAGCCCTAAACTAAAGCCTGAAATCTTAACCCTATACCGCAGCACGGCTGTCTCAGGCTTTCTCCTGTCTGCGGCCTGCTTCACCTTCATGATCCTTGGGGGCTTTGGGGTTTAGGGTTTTGGGTTTAGAGTTTAGGGTTCAGGGTTTAGTAGAGGTTCATTTAAACCCTAAACCCTAAACCCTAAACCCTAAACCCTAAACCCTAAACCCTAAACCCTAAACCCTAAACCCTAAACCCAAGGATGTGTTTGGGTCTCCCCGAACCGTACTTCTGCTTCGTGGATGGCCGCTACCAGTTCGACCAGCCTCCTTGCGACTCGGCGCCTGAACCCCTCCCAAGCCCCAAGCCCTAAATGCCAAGGCCCACAGACCCCTAAATCAAAGAAAAGCCTTAATCACCCCTAAGCCCTAAACCCTAAACCCTAAACCCTAAACTCTAAACCCTAGACCCCGAACCTGCGCACAAGGCAACCCCGATGCCGTCAACTTCTATGCGCCGTTGACGGCCTGCCTGTGCCTCGCAACCCTGGGCTCCTTTGAATGAGTTTAGGGTTTGGGGTTTAGGGTTTAGGGCTTAGGGTTTACCTGCTCTTTCTCTTCAGGCTGGAAATTAAGCCTTTTCAGTTTCAGGTGCCTGAACAGGGTTGAGCCCTGCAAAAAACGCCTGCAGGCGTTTTCTTGGTTTCAAGTAGCCGGGGCATGCCGGGGCTTGCTGGATGAGGCTTGCGGAAATGTGCTCATAGACCGGTCTAGCAGCCGGCTACCATGGATGCAGCTTCGATTAGGGTTTAGGGTTTAGGGCTTAGGGTCTATAGGGCTTAGGGTTTAGGGTTCTAGGGTTTAGGGCTTAGGGTTTAGGGTTTAGGGGTTCCTCTTCAGCTCCATTGAAAACAAAGAAGGGCAGCCCTTTTTCGTGACCAGGCAGGTCCCTTTTTTGGGTTGCGGACCCGGACCTCCTAGACCCTAAACCCTAAACCCTAAGCCCTAAACCCCAAGGCCTAAACCCTAGACCCTAAACCCTAAACCCTAGACCCTAGACCCTAAACCCTAAACCCTAAACCCTAAACCCTAAACCCTAAACCCTAAACCCTAAACCCTAAACCCTAAACCCTAAACCCTAAACCCTACGCAAGGCTCGACGATCGCCACCGCGGCAGCCCAGGGGCTTGTGGTGGAGTATGCCCAAGCTGAGCCCGAGGATGGGTTTAGGGTTTCGGGTGTAGGGTTTAGGGTTTAGGGTTTAGGGGTTAGGGTTTAGTTCGGAATTTAGGGTTTGGGGTTTGGGGTTTGGGGTTTGGGGTTTGGGGTTTGGGGTGCGTAAGCTATGCCGGAGGACGGGCTCCGGGGCTCGCACGCTAAACCCTAAACCCTAACCCCTAAACCCTAAACCCTAAGCCCTAAACCCTAAACCCTAGACCCCTTGGTTAGAACGGTTCTCGAGCCTGCGTAGAACCCGAACCTTGGGGACCAAATTGAACCCTAAAATTGGGTTTAGGGTTTAGGGCTTAGGGCTTAGGGCTTAGGGCTAAGGGCTTAGGGCTTAGGGCTTACCCTATACTACTGTAACCTCTCTTCAGGCACATGAACCATAAACCCTCTTGGGGTTCATGTAGTCCCAACGAACCGCCTTGGGTGCTGAAGTGAAAATATGAGGAGCAGGCTCAGAGGCCCCGAAATGCTGATCTTAGGGGGTATAAGGAGAGAGACCCCCTAGAAGGGACCCTTATTATTCTTCCCCTATAATATAACCCCTATATATACCTTAAATAGTCCCTCTGTACCGAAGAAGCCCCAAAAGAAACCCTGAATGACGTCCCTTGATGATGCACGCGCAGATGCAGAGGACCGTCGAGGTCGCACGCAGACCCTGCTGCACATGGTCAGACTGGCGGGGGCTTTCTGCGCCACTGCGGTGGCTGCCTTTGGCTTCAATGGCCGGATGTTCACGGGCAGCTTCAACCAGGACCTTTATGGGGTTCCTAAGGGAGGCTTTAGGGTTTAGGGTTTAGGGTTTGGGGTTTAGGGGTTTAGGGTTTAGGGTTTAGGGTTTAGGGTTTAGGGTTTAGGGTTTAGGGTTTAGGGTTTAGGGTTTAGGGTTTAGGGGGGTTCCATCCGGGGGTAGGTACCTATAGGGAGCCTTAGGGAAGCTTAGGGGCCTTGGGGAGTATTACTTGAACCCCCCTCCCGAACTCTTCAACCAGGACTACCAGCTGAGCTACCGGCAGTTCATTGGCATCTTCGCAGTTCCCCGGGGAGCACATGAACCCTAAAAAGGTTTGGGGTTTAGGGTTTAGGGTTTAGGTTCATGGTTCCTATACCTTCATAGGGGTTATAGTGGTATAGGGTATATGAACCCAATTTTTAGGGGTACATACCTTAGAGCAGGGGTTGCAGCAGTACAGGCTATGGGATCCCCTAAACCCTAAACCCTAAACCCTAAACCCTAAACCCTAAACCCTAAACCCTAAACCCTAAACCCTAAACCCTAACATCTTGGACCCCGAGGTGGTCACGAGCATCGCTGCCGTCGGAAGCCTCTTCTGCGTTCGCGAGGGCCCCGCAGCGCCAGCGGCCAGGACTGATTGGGTCTACTTGGGACTCGATTTACCTAGAGGACCTAGAGTTTAGAAGTAGCTGCCCCTAGTTATGTAGGTATAACCCACAAAACTGTAGGTAAGGAGGGTCACAGGTAGGACTTCTTCCTCGGTCCCTTGAGGTTGATAGGGGCCATCTTCGGCGTATATTCGGGGGAACCTTTCTGGGTACAACCTTCGGGGTACGAGCCTTACATCCCTTGATTAGGACCCCCCCCCCCCCCAGTGGGCGCTTATTCATTCGTTGAAGCTTTTAAGGGCCCTATGGGTCCCTGAACGAATATAGAGGTTGGAAGAATGACTAATAGTATTCCCTTATGGCCCCTTTGTAAATACACTCGAAGAATCTCCCAAAACCCTGTTCTAATTATTTAGGCCCCTATATCACCCTCCGTTGTTCCCAAGTTACCTGCTATTCAGGGCCCTAGAAGGGGGGTATGGCTCCTAACCCTAAACCCTAAACCCTATAAACCCTAAACCCTAGACCCTAGCGCTAAACCCTAAACCCTAAACCCTTGACCAAGGCCTCCATTCGGGCATACTGCCGGTCTTCGTGGCAGCTCCTCGAGAGCAAGGCTGGGTTTGGGGTTTGGGGGCTCAGGTTTAGGGTTTAGGGTTTAGGGTTTAGGGTCTAGGGTCTAGGGTCTAGGGTCTAGGGTCTAGCGTTGCTTGTTTGCGGTTTGTTCTGTGGGTTGGCTTCCGAAACCCCGGAAGCCCTGCTATCCTCAGCCTACCCTTTACCTGCTCTTGTGCTCGTGGGTTGCAGGACATCTTGTACGCAAGCAACAAGCATCTCTAAATTAATCCTGAAGCCCGATAGACTTCAATATTCAATGATACTGTAGGGCCCTAAGGGCCTAAAACCCTACAGCCCTACAGAAGTAAGTTTCAAGCCAGCTCAAAGAGATTTCGGTTGTTTACGAAAGTAGCGGACCAGACCCCAAATTTCCCCTATGATCAAGACCCCAATAAGGGAGCCCCAATTTCGGAAACCATGAACCCCAAACCCGAAGCCCGACACCCTAAACCCTAAACCCTAAACCCTAAACCCTAAACCCTAAACCCTAAACCCTAAACCCTAAACCCCAATGTCGGAAACCGCTTTCTTGTGGTTGAGAGGCGCCCCAGTGACGTCTTCTCTGACGTGGCAGTTGGGTTTTTCGTTTCGATGCAATGAAGAAGTTTAGGCTGAGCCCTACAGCATCTTCAGGGTTCTAAGGACTCGGGTTTAGGATTTAGGGTTTAAGACTTAGGGCCTAGGACTTAGGGTTTAGGGTTTAAGGTTTAGGGCTTGGGGTTTAGGGTTTAGGGTTTAGGGCTTGGGGTCTAGGGTTTAGGGTTTAGGGCTTGGGGCTTCGGGTTTAGGGTTAGGGCTTAGGGTTTAGGGTCTAGGGGAAGTTCTGCTCTAAAAGTCACCCTGGTAGAGGCCTTCTGCTCGGTGGCCCTCTTCGTCTTCTTGGCCGAAACCCTCCACGGCTTCTCCACGAGTGCGGGTACCTGGGTAGGGCTTGCACCTCGGACTTCTCAGAGGTATAGGGTTTAGGGTTAGGGTTTAGGGTCGAGGGTTTAGGGTTTAGGGTTTAAGGGTTAAGGGTTTAGGGTTTAGGGTTTAGGGTTTAGGTTTTAGGGTTTAGGGTTTAGGGTTTAGGGTCAGAAGGCTGTAGGGGTGGAAGTTGGCATGTCCCCCCCTTGTACGAAGAGAGTCCTTCGTAGGGATTATAATAGGGGGTCTACTATAATCCCTATTAGGGACTGTTTGTATAAGGGGCAACATCCCAAGGTGGAAGCCCTAAACCATCCCAAACCCTGAACCTTATATCAAAGTCTAACCCTAACCCCCCCCCCCCCCAGTCCCTGAACCTTAAACCCTACATCCTAAACCCTAACCCCTAAAGCCTAAACCCTGAACCTTAACCCGGGTTTAAGGCGTGGGCTTTGGGCTTGGACTAGGGTTCCGGGTTTGGGGTTCAGAGGGCGCGTGTGCTTCTTTCTGTGGCTGTTCTGGCCGCCCGGTTGAAGTCATCGGGCTTCGTTCGCCTTAAGCCCTAAACCCTAAACCCTCCCCCAACCTAGTGGGGGTTTAGGGTTTAGGGTTTAGGGTGTTTCGGGTTGGGGGGAGGCCAAGCGCGCACTCAGGAGTGGGCCAAAACTGAAGACTTGCAGAGGCGGGTCAGAAGCACATTCTTCCGGTCAACACAGGAGCCTACTTTAGGGTTTCCCTGAAGGCTCTAATGTAACTAGTTTCTTTTTGGGTTAGTTGTAGGGGCTGCTAGTATACAAAATGGTACTACAGAGAAGCCTTTGCGTAGGGTTTATAGGTATTGCTTTGATTATCAAGAATATCCCCTTGTGTTCCCTATGATTCTCTCGTGCAAGCTGCCCAAACTAAGCGTTCCCCCCCCCCCCCCCCTCTCCCACCCCCCAAACCCGAAACCCTAGTAGCCTACGCCCGTATCAAATTAAAACTCAGGTTCTTCGGGCTTCGGGTCAGTTAGGCTCAGGGTCTTGTAGTTGGAGTGTTTAGTTTAGGGTTCAGGGTTTGGCGTTTATAGAAGTTATTCAGACACTCAGGACCGTAGACCCCGAAACGTCAACCCAAAACCCTGCAAACAAATCATCCCACAGCCCTTCTTGCACAGATCCCGAACCCGAACACTTGGGATGTAAACCCTTATTAACTAACAGTCCTTAATCGGGATTCTAGTACCCCCTATTATAATCCCGATTGAGGACTGTTAGAAAACATCCCAACCTAACACCCACAAACCCTGTGCCGCCAACGCAACCCGAGTTGGCTTCTGCGCCAGGCAGCTGAGCAAGGTCCTTGGTATTCTTCTGACTGTTTTTGGTAGCTGGGTGGCTCAGAACTTGGGCTGCACAAACTGAGGCTTTTGGGTCTAGGGTCTTGCCCTGAAACTGTCCAGGTACAGTTAGAGGCCCAAAAGACGTTCACTGTTGCGTGTCACAGTATACACTGTTAGGTGGGATGCGGGTTGAAGTAGGTCTTGGGCCGTGACGGATCCTAGCAGCGAGGTTTCGCTCAGAAGGAACCTTGAACCCAACATCAACCACGGAGCCCCAGGCGTCCAAAGCCCATAAACCCCAAATCATATGAGCCGACTTCGCCATGACTTAGCGGCAAGGGTTTAGGGTTTAGGGTTTAGGGCTTAGGGTTTAGGGTTTGGGGTTTAGAGAACTCAGGAAATGGCTTCTCAACGCCAGCTGGCGGAAAATCCTCTTTGCCACCGTCATGATCGCAAACGTCCTCGACTCTTTGCACGCAGAGGGCCCGGGCGCGTGGGGGCACACCCACCCCTAACCCGTAACCTTAAACCCAAAACCCTAAACTTTAAACCCTAAACCCTAAACCCTAAACCCTAAACCCACCTCTAACCCTAAACCCTAAACCCTCAACCTTTAACCCAAAACCCCTGAGTCCTTCAGGATTGCATCCCCCAGTTCCTGACCATCTTCGACATCGTCCGGAATCAGCGCCCTGGGGTTCAGGGTTTATGGTTCAGGGTTCAGGGCTTAGGGTTCAGTGTCCTAGGGTTCAGGGTTCAGGGTTTAGGGTTTAGGGTTTAGGGGTTTAGGGGTTTAGGGCGTGGCTCGGTTTCGGGACCCAAAAATATCAGTTTCCCGACACCCTCAAGCCTACAAAAAAAACACCCTAAACCCTAAATCTCGCATACATTGCAATCGCAAACGGCGGTTGTTTTCCCGAACGTTGGCTCTGGCTCGTTTCCTTTCCTTGGTAACCCCCGCCCCCCCCACCCCCCCCACCCCCCCCCCACCCCCACCCCCCCCCCCCCCCACCCCCCCCCCCACCCCCCCCCACAACCCCCCCACCCCCCCCCCCCCCCCCCCCCCCCACCCCCCCCCCCCCCCCCCCCCCCACCCCCCCCCCCCCCCCCCCCCCCCCCCCCCCCCCCACACCCCCCCCCCCCCCACCTTTTCGGGGACGCTTCCTAAGCCCTACCTGGCCCCCCAAAACACCCATAAGGTTAAAGATGGTTTAAGAGTTCAGGGTTCAGGGTTTAGGGTTTACGGTTTAAGCGCCATTATTCTCACTGTTTTGGGGGTCTAGGTATGGGGTCTAGGTATGAGCTCTTTATGGGCAGGTCCCTGAAATGGTGCCCCTTTAAACATACCCTCAATCGAGGGCTTCGGACTGCAATGGAAACCCGGACAGAGGGGCCACAGTTTAGAGAACCCCATCTTGCAGAAGCTTTAATTCGGGTTTAGGGTTTTGGGTTTCGTTTAGCGTTTAGGGTCGAACCCCTCTTACAGAAGGTACTTCTACCTCGGGGAGCCCCTCACGCAGCAACTTCTCAGCATTGGCGGGAAGCTTCACCTGAAGCCCTGAACCAAAAGGGCACAACCACATATGAAGCAGGTTTTATACTTCTGTTATTGGTGAGTGTATGTATATATATATATACATATATACAAGGTTCCTTTGCAATATTGGTGAGTGTACATATTTGGTGTTTCTTGGGGATACAAGAAATATGAACCTTGCTTCATATGGTCACTTCTCTAACGCTATGGTCCCTTTTGGGGTGTTTATTCTAAGGCGGCCCCTCTTATTTTAGGGTACCCAGAAAGGGACCATAATTTAGAGAACTTGCCATATCGGGGTTTCGGCTTTGCAGGGGTTCAGGGCTTCGTTTAGGGTTTAGGGGTTTTGGGTTTCGGGTTTAGGGTACACAAGCCTCAACCCCACTCCCGAAACCCTACACCCCCAAAACCCTGAACCCAACGTAAACAGCAACCGTCAACCCCAAGCCCACCCTCCTAGAGCCGCAGGTCCATAGCCGAACACCTACTAACGCCTAACCCTAACCCCTAAACCCTAAACCTCTAAACCCCTAAACCCTAAGAAGCCCACCCTAAACCCGTCAACACGCCTTGCAGAAGCCAGAAAGCCGAGGAATGTTCCTGAGGCCATGACGGAGTTAGTCTACATCTTCATGGTGATCCTGGGCTGTGGTATAGGGTTTAGGGTTTAGGGTTAATCATGTTCCCTTGTGGTCTCCTTTATATGCAATTATATAAGAACCCCCCCCCCCCCCCAAACAAAAAATGATAAAAAAGACAAACCTGTTCTAATTATTCAGGCCCCTTTAGTACATCTTCATGGTGTTCCCGGGCTGGATTTTAAGGGGTATAAGAAGGGACGCCTAGAAGGGACCCTTTATCTTATTCCCCCTACTACCTCCGATACCGAAGAAGCCCCTAAATAACCCTTAAACAACCCAACCCTAAGGTCCCTTAGAGGGTCCCCCCCCCCCCCCCCCCATTTTGAGCATTTTCTTGCTAGGTCTCAATCCGGTATCCTCGGGAACCCAGGACCCAGAGTGCCTCATATCACCTCCCCTACCCAATATTTTGCCCTTAACTACATGGATTCTATTTGGGGCCGGGGGGGGGTGGGGGGGGCGGGGACCTTAAGAGCATAGCTTTGAGTTTTCTCATGGTAGCCCAGTGGTACCCTTTACCCTTTTTTTGGGGTTATGGGTTCCCTTATCAAATAGCCAACCCAGAAAAGGGTGCCCTTATTGTAATATGGTTACTGGGCTACCAAGATTGGTTCTGCTGTCACTTTTGTTTGTTTTGCTTGGTTCTTGCTGTAAGCGAACCTGTACATTTGTTTTTTCTTCACGTGGCTGGTTGTCCGTTTGCAAGGGACCACTGAAAAATCTGGAAGGCTCTGTGTTGATAGAGGGTCCCGGGAGCAGCTCAGGAATGAGCTCGCGGACGAGGGCAACACTGCCACCCAGCACACTTGTTTACGGGCTTAAGGGTTAGGGTCGAGGGCTGATGAACGGAGAAACCAGCAGCACCCGAGGCTCTTAGGGGTTCTTGTTTAGGGTATACAGGCTCCACACTGCCAACGCTAAACCCCAAGCGCGAAGATGTACACCTCAACACACCCGAAATCCTAACCCCAGCATGCCCGCAGATAAGGATGGGACCCTGGCACATTCAGGGACTGAGGGCTCGGAAGGTCATCGTCCAGAGGGTTTTCTGGGGCCTTAGGTCCAAACCTTGAGGCTCTAGGTGTTTGGGGGTCTTTTTGGGGTTCAGACTTTGAGAGTCTTAAGGATCTCGGATGGTGGGATGGGATGAAGGGTTCTTGAGGGGCTTCTGGGGCGTTTCTACATTTTAAGGTTTCCATGACTCTTTGAGCCTTCGTTGTGGGTTTGGGGACGGTTGGAACCTTAAAGCCCGCGCGGGCTTCGGGTTTAGGGTTTTACGCCTTTAGGGTTCCTAAACCCTAAACCCTAAACCCTAAACCCTAAACCCTAAACCCAAAGCCCCTTACCTTATTCCCTATAAGACCTCGCTGAAGGCGCTGGTGATTGGCTTGGTCCTGACGATCAAGTCCCTCGGGCAGCCGCTCTCCGTCATGATCTCCAACCAGGTTTTCGCGCGACCTGGTTCGCAAACAGGTTGCAACCCGGCGCCCCCGGCCAAAAGTCATTCTTCCGGATGCCCTTACTACAGCTTTCTGTAGGACGTGTTTTTTTTTTTTTTCCGAGTTCCTGCTGTGTTTTGTTTAAAACCGAAGGAAATCACTCTGCGTACATAAAAGAACACTCTGTGGTGCACACATGGCTGTCAGAGCCTCAGCCGAAACGCACAAGGCCTCGGAGTCGGGAGTCTAAGACTAGGAGCCGGTGTAAGGCCCTTATTCCCTTTTTTTTTAAGGGTTTGGGTTCCCTTCTTAAACCCCTTTATACCAAAAAGGGTACCCTTATTTTATTCCTAGGTTATTTCACTCTTGGGTCTAGGAGACATCCCCAGGCTCTTCAAACCAGACCTCTACTTGAGGATCAACTACGTCAAGGACCGCTCTTGTCCCCAAATCACCGTCTCTTCAACCTTGAAGGACGTTTAGGGTGTAGGGTTTAGGGTTTAGGGTGTAGGGTTTAGGGTTTACACCTGGAGCCGGGCCGGTGTTCACGCCCCAAGCCCTATGGACCTTGGCTTTCTCCCGCACCCTCTTGTTCTTTGTGGTGCTTTACTAGAACTTTACATCTTTAGCCTTTTTGGGTTTATTGGGCTTCTTAAGAAGGCAGCTAAGAATTAAATGTACAGCTACCCTGCTAAGAGCAGCCAAGTGTTGAGGGCCTTTCCAGGGCTGAGGGTTTTGTAACTCAGCGAGGCTTTCTGGTCCCTGTCACTAGCGTTTAGGGTTTAGGGTCTTTCTGGTGGCCTCTGCTTGAACAGGCAGGTGCCCCACATGGAAGCACTACTTCCTGCCAGAAAGTAAATGCAGATCCGAAAGTCCTTAAACCCTAAACCCTAAACCCTAAAACCACTATCCCCCTCAACCGCAACGCCTGGAGAATCTCAAGTCCCCACCTACGCTGCTGCAGCACTGCAGGACACGCCGGCGTTTCGGTGGACGGTGGCTGCATCGTTTCTACTGTGCCATAGCCGAAGTGGTCTCTGAAACCCTAAACCCTCAAGCCACTGACACCTTCACTAGGCAGTGAACTCAACAGGGGCGTAGGGTTTAAAGGGCTTAGGGCCATTTTAGGGTGGGGTTTAGGGTTTAGGGTTTAGGGTTTAGGGTTTAGGGTTTAGGGTTTAGGGTTTAGGGTTTAGGGTTTAGGGGGATTTTGCGGCTGAGGACCTACTGCGTCTCTGTGCTTGGCTTGGTGATCCTCCCTCTCCTGCCTTCGCAGAAGCAGGAAGCGCAGAAGCGCAAGCCACCCGGCCGTTTGTTGATGCTCAACCTGTAGGGTTTAGGGTTTAGGGTTTACCTGTCAGTCCCCCGTTCCATAAAAAACTGTCCTATTGAAGAGGCCGGAAAAATCCAGCCGCGCAAAAAATCCGTCCGCTTTAATGATGGTCAGAAACCTATTTCCTGGTGGAAACCAGACACCCACACAATTCTGCAGAAAAGTGGCCTTTTCAGAAAAGTGTCCTCTTGTTGGGTTTGCGTTGGGTGTTGGGTGCGCTTTTTTCCCAACATTTCCCAACATTTTTCCAACAAAGTACGGATTCGGTACGGTTTACGTTTTTTTGGGCTACCCCCCCCCCCCCCCAAAAAAAAAAAAAAAACCCAACAAAACCCAACATTATGTTGGAAAAACGTTGGGTTCAGAGTACGCTTTTTTTGTGTTCTGCTCAGGTCACCTATTCTTTGGTGCACAAGACTCTGCACAGGGCTCGGGAAGGTTGCCCTGAACTCCGAAAATCCAGCCGCTTTGATCGTATCCCCCGATCCCAATAGAACACCAACGCCTCGCTTCTGCACGCAAAAAAAAACCAGAAAAAAAACCATAAGGACAGAAATTTCTATCCGCCAGGATTAACAGGTAGGGTTTAGGGTTTAGGGTTTAGGGTGTAGGGTTTAGGGTTTATGGTTTAGGGTTTAGGGTTTAGGGTTTAGGGGTATAAGGGGACCCCTAGAAGGGACCCTTCTTCTTTTTCCCCTATACAACCTTAAGGGTTTAGAGGGTTTGGGGCTTGGGGTATGCACTTCAAGCTGAAACAGGGAGATCTTGCTTTAACAGAAATGTTGCTTAGGGTGTTGGGCTCAGGGATGGAATCTGAGATTCCGCTACTTTGGGGTTTGAGGTTTGGACGCTCAGAGCTGACTAAGTTGCCAAGTTTCCACTGGACCCGCGCTTAGAGGGCAGCGACTAGCGTCCCACAGCGGACACAGTGTGTCCGAGGCTTTCCCCTAAACCCCCTAAACCCCCTAAACCCCCTAAACCCCCTAAACCCCCTAAACCCCCTAAACCCCCTAAACCCCCTAAACCCTAAACTAAACCCTCCACCCGAGGTTGGAGTGGTCTCACAGGCCCGTGTATGCCATCCTCTCCACAGTCGTGCCCCGGCTCATTGTGGCTTAGGGTTGAAGATATTGTTTTTTTGGGGCATATCTAGGGGACATGTGGACGAATATCTCGCAGACCTACATAGAATGGCTCAGCGTTTCTGGCGTTCTTGGAATTTCTTGGGTGAGGCGTCGTGCGAGGCCCTCAGACCTATCAGCCTTGAACTCTGCCTAGTCGGGACCCAGGCACATTGGGCATTGCAACCTTCGGCATGTGTTGGGATGTTCCCCCTTATACTAGCAGTCCGTGATTGGGACTAGCGTACCCCCTACTGTAATCCTTATAAGGCCTGTTCGTATCAGGGGGAACATCCCAAGGCATGTCTGTCAGCGCATCAAGTCTCCATCCGGGTCTGTAGCTTCTACCCTACCAAGCCCCAGCCAGATCGCCCTGAGGGGCCTGAGCGGCTTAGGGTTTAGGGCTGGGGTTTATGGGGTTTGTAGTTTGTAGTTTGTAGGGTTTTGCAGGGTTTATAGGGTTTATAGGGCTTATATATATATATATATAGGGTTCATAGGGTCTATAGGGTTTGTGGGGTTTTTACAGGGGTTATATTTAGGCTCTATAGGCTGTAGAGGGTTTATAGTGTTGACAGGGTTTTTCAGGGTTTTTATGGGGCCCGGAAGCCTGAATCCCCAGGTGCTCATGGCTTCCTTGCTCTACACCTTGGTCGGGGAGCGCAGTCTGCGCTTGGGTCTAGGGTTTAGGGTTTAGGGTTTAGGGTTTAGGGTTTAGGGTTTAGGGTTTAGGGTTTAGGGTTTAGGGTTTAGGGTTTAGGGTTTAGGGTTTAGGGTTAAACTCCACACCCTACTCCCCAAACCCAGCAAATGCAACTTTCGCCCGCGGGCCACCATCCAAGATCTCCATTTTGCTGCAAGTCAGGGCCGTCAACCTCAATCGTTTATGGTTCTGGGCTTAGGGTTAGCAGCCCAAGAAAAGAGGGATAGCAGCCCAAGAAAAGAAACAATAGTTACATGATGTTTGTACATACTGTTGAGGGTCCGTTTTGATAGGATGAGCTCGAGGAGCCTTGAACCGCCACGAGAGTTGCAATTACCCTTTCGGGGTCATTTTTTCCTATCCCTAAACCCTAAACCAAACCCTAAACCCTAAAACTTAAACCCTAAAACTTAAACCCTAAGCCCTAAACCCTACACCCTAAACCCTAAACCCTAAACCCTAAACCCTAAACCCTAAACCCTCAGCCGCCGCTGCGGTGAGGACTTTCTGGTTCTGGACCCTTCCATGGCTTGCCTCCGCTTTCTGGGTGGACAGGGCTGCTAAGAGCTGTGGGTTTAGGGTTGAGGGTTTAGCGTTTGGGGTTTTGTAGGGTATATGGTTTCGGACATGCATGGTTTCGGATGTGCAGTGTAGAAGATTTCGGGTTTCTAGGGGATAAGGATGCAGGTTTTTTGGGGTACGCTGCTTAGGTTTTGGAGTGTATGAGGTTTAGGGCTGATATGTCTTCGGGTTTAGGCTGTTCAGAACTGCGGAGTCCTTGTACGGGACCCGAAACCCCTAAACCCTCAACCACAAACCCTAAACCTTGAACCCTAAACCAATTCGGACTGATACTGATACCGTCTATCCGTTTAAGAAGAGGGCGCACAGAAGTCAATGGGAAGGGGTGAGTGAGGAGGGTCTGGCAGTTGGGTGGGTTCCGGCCCTTGCTCAGCCATGCTGCCTCCTCATCCTCGTAAACCCAAGCCTAAGCCCGCAGTCAGTTAGATCACCAACTAGCTCGGAGTAGCCCCGTCGCATCTCAGCACGCCCTAATTCAAAGCCGAATGGTGCATACAATTTCTGGGCAGGCCCTTTAGCTGTCTTTGTTTTGGAGGCGTCTTTCAAAGGGTGTTTAGGGGCTAGCCTGGTGTTGTGTGATGCCAAAGTTGTGACGAATTCAGCAGCGTGGCTCCTGTTACCTCGCGAGGCTGAGGACAGGCTGCGGCAGAAAGAGCTTTGTAAAGATGCCGCGGGTGACCACCTAAACGCACTGCCCCATGCTAGCCATGAGCCTTTCTGTACAGGCCTTTCTATGCCGAGACTCTCGCAGCGTGGGCAGCGCGAGAAATGTACGCCGAAGAGGTTGCAGCCATAGATCCTAGACTTTGTAGACGCCGGCGAATGCCCAACGAAACCTCATCAAACCCCCAAAGCCTGTACATCCCACCAAAACCAGTTCAACTCCTACACATCCTCAAAGTCCTTTAAAGCCCAGACTCGCTCAAGCGTCCTAGGCCCTTACTCAATGCCATTCCAAATAAGGGTTTCCGAAACATGGGTGTGCCCTTTGTGTGGGGTCCCTTTATAAGGGGATTCTATTCTATTTAGGGCATAAAAGGGGTACCCCCATTTGGATATGTACCCAAATCCTACCCAAACCCCTATTATAAACCCTAAACCCCAAACCCTAAACCCCAAACCCCAAACCCTAAACCCTAAACCCCAAACCCTAAACCCTAAACCCTAAACTCCCAGCACCGGCGTAAGGCCCATGGAGGAGGCGGAGGAGGCGTCGCAGCGCGTGCGGCGCGAGTTTCAGGCCCTTTGCGTGTTGGAGCCTGGGGAGTGCAAGCTTGTACCGTAAACCCGAAACCCTAAACCCTAAACCCTAAACCCTAAACCCTGAACCCTGAACCTTGAACCCTGAACCCTAAACGCTGCCGACACCATTTCTGGCTTCCAAACCCTCGAAGCAAAAAGCCCTGAGCCCTGTCAGCCCGATAAGTTCATAAGCCCCAGCGCTAATCAGCCTCAAGCCCTTCAACCCCCGTCTATAGGCTTTAGCGTTTACAGGGTGGGGCCCCCTTACTATACTCACTGTAGTTGAGGGACTTATAACCTAACTTAGGGCCCTTATAACCCAATTTAGGGCCCTTATAACTCTACTTATAACTAGGGGGCCCCACCCTGTAGGGCTGAGGGATAATGGTGGCCCTAAGCCCTGATTTTGTCGCCTATAGACCTTACTTGGAACCCTGATCTGATGACCCCAGACCAAGGGTTGCCTCTGCCGTTGCTTCTGCCATGGTGTTGTGGCAGGAGGGTTTAGGGTTTAGGGTTTAGGGTTTAGGGTTTAGGGTTGCAAAGCAGTTGCAGCAGCACCCGGAGCGGCAGCCGAAGGATCCCACGGAAGGGGCCCCCGCAAGCAACGCGTATGTGTAGTGTGCTCGAAACTGTGGGTTTAGGGCTTAGGGCTTAGGGCTTAGGTCTTAGGGCTTAGGGTTTAGGGTTGAGGGCTTAGGGTTTGGAATTTTTTGCATCAGGGCTACTAGTGGTAGGTTTAAGTCGACCCTGCCGGGGGAAGTCGTTCCAAGCCCATGTGCCGCAGGGATTGGGCATGCTTTTCCCATATCCTCAACATACCTTATATTTCATCAGACCCTGAGTTTTGTGGTCTTATAATCGCACTGTTCACATGGTTTTGGGCCATTTGGGGATCGTTGTTTGTGCTGTAACCCCGAAGCTTCCGATGCGTGCACTGCGGGGAAGCCATCAGCAATCGATTCCGACGAAGAAGCATCACTCACATGAACCCTAAAGCTTAAACCCTGAACCGTAAACCCTAAACCCTGAACCCTAAACCCTAAACCCTAAACCCCACCGCACGCTGGGAGGCGCTCCTAGCTGACCCTGCCGCCCTGCGGGCAACGGGCCGCGAGCTCTGGCAGTCACTCTCCGGCCAAGGCGCGGATTGAGGGGGTTTCAGGTTCCATGGCCGGTTTAGGGTTTTGGGTTTGGGGTTTAGGGGTTAAAGATTTGGGGTTTTGGGTTTAGGGTCGCAGGGTATCCAGATTTAGGGATGTAAGAATTGCGCACCAAAGACTCTCGAACTTAAGCCTCTTCAGAGACGCCGGCAGTGCTTGCACACTTCATCCCGGCTCCTGAGCCTAAGTCGCCTAGCAAGGGACCACGGGACTTTGTGAATTGACCAGGCTTGAGCTCTTTGTGTGAAGGATCTTGTTCATCATCATGCTGTTACATCCACTTACCCTAAATAACCCTAAAGCCCACAAGCCCTCAACCCAGGTACCGCCAACCCGGTTCCTCTAGTTCTCGGCTGCCTCCTCTCCCGGGCGGCCAGCGCGGGCGCAGCGGTGGATGAGGAGGCAGCCTGGCCGTTTGAATGGCGACTTACAGCTCCACCCACACACACACACACCTGAACTGTCTTTTGTTAAGAAGCTGGAGCTAGAAGTTTCCATTGTAGGTTAATATGGTGAACATCATGAAGCTAAGTTTCTAGTAGGTTTATCTAGTGCACTCATGAGGGTAGCTTCATTTTCGCTCCTTGACGAGTGCGCCAAGCTTGCAAGGTCAATCAAAAGTAAAGTGGGGTAGCTGGGACCCATGTAGAGTTTCCAAATGGGTGGTTGTCAAGATTCGGGTGCCTTTTTGGATCTTATAATACGGCACCGAGTATATAGGGTACCCCAAAAGGGATCATAATTTTTAGATCCACCCAGAAATAGTCCCTTTACAAAAGCCCTATGTCGTTGCAATATTCACTAGCGCCCAGTCCAAAGTAACAGGCACCCGGATTGCGCACATTCCAAACACCGGAGGCCCCGTAGTCATCAGACTCGTCTTTAGCTGAAATAGCAAGTCCCTGTAGATGGGCTACAGTACGCATACCTAGAGCTCCTGTATACTTAAGTTTCTCAGCAATTGTATTCTTGCAGACCATTAAATGAAGCCCTAAACAAACCAAATCCCGAAATCCCTATTTAGTAACCCTCAACCCTCAACCCTCAACCCTCAACCCTCAACCTTCAACCCTCAACCCTCAACCCTCAACCCTCAACCCTCAACCCTAAACCCTAAACCCTAAACCCTAAAACCTAAACCCTAAACCCTAAACCCTATCTAGTACACCCCAACAAAGGTCCTTCTACACCCGAAGACGTCAAGTCCCAAATCCGAAGCTCCTCGATTCCCCATCCTTACGTAAGCCCCAAAACCTCGGGCTGTTTGTGGCTAGGGCTTAGGGTTTAGGGTTTAGGGTTAGGGTCTAGGGTTTAGGGTTTAGGGTTTAGGGTTCAGGGTTTAGGGTTTAGGGTTTAGGGTTGAGGGTTTAGGGTTTAATTAGGGTTTAGGGTTTAGGGTTACTAAATCGGGTCCTCCTGGCCCAGGCGCTGAGGGCGGCCTGGCCCCGCGAGGAGCGGGGAGACCTCCGCGCCAAGCTGTCGAGCAAGGACTGGAGGGCTTACGTAAGGTTTTTGGGGTTTAGGTTTTGCGGTTAGGAAGGTTTAGGGTTTAGGATTTAGGGTTTAGGGTTAGGGTTTATAGGGTTTAAGGCTTAGGGTTTAGGGTTTATAAGGTTTAGGGTTTAGGGTTTAGGGTTTAGGGTTTAGAAGGCCGCCCTCAGCGCCTGGGCAGCAGAGGATTTTGGGTTGTAGGGCTGAGGGCCCTTGACATTCAACCCTAAACCCTAAACCCTAAACCCTAAACCCTAAACCCTAAACCCTAAACCCTAAACCCTAAACCCTAAACCCTAAACCCTTTACGAATGTCTTCAGAGGGGTTTCAGGGCCATCCGAAGCCACGTCCTCGTCAGAGGATGGGTCCGAGGCTGAGGCTGCCTTCTCCGAGGCCGTTTCGGGTTTTTGGGTTTAGGGTTTAGGGTTTAGGGTTTAGGGTTTAGGGTTTAGGGTTGGGCTTTCTGAAAGGTTTAGGGTTGAGGGTTGAGGGCGCGTAGGGTTTAGTGCTCAGGCTTAAGGGCTATGGCTTTAGGGTTTAAGCCTCTGAAATTCGGGGTTTGAAGGCTGCATTGGTTGTAGGCTGCATTGGTTGTAGGGTTGAAGGTTCAGGGGCCTCCTGGGGGGTGGGGAGGGGGGAGGAGGTCCAGATGGGTGGTCTAAACTCTAAGCCCTTTAAACCCTAAACCCTTAAAGTCTTGGGGCTCAGGATTTCGGATCAGTGGTTTGGGCGGGGAAGGCCATAGGGCTTTCATTGGGAGGCTTCAGAGTTGGGTCCAGGGCTTACCTTGTAGGTTTTACTACCATTGGCTTAAGACCACCCCCCCCCCCCCCACCCAAAAAAAAAAAGGAAAATGACAAGAATAAAAAAGAAGAAAACATAGTCGTCCTAAGAGTAACATAAGGATTCTTCTTTCTTTTCTTGCGGGTCAGAGGTTTCTAGGGTTCCCTTAAGACTGGGGAAATGCGGCTGTCATTTTTCAGGGGTTAACTCTTTGTGGTGCTTTACTATAACTTTACATCTTTAGCCTTTTTGGGTTTATTGGGTTTCTTAAGAAGGCAGCCAAGAATTACATTTATAGCTACCCTCCTGAGTGCAGCCAAGTTAACTGGGCCATGTCTTGGATGGATTTCGAAGTGCTTGTCTAAAGCAGAGCATGTCGCTTCCTGGCCCTACAAAGAATAATGCAGTATGATTACGATAGATCACTGTACTACTATGTGAGTGTAGTAGCACACGCAGATAAACCGTATAAGGACAGATGATATAAGACGAATGCAAGATGAAGCGAAGCCAGAGATATCATTTTGGGGATCGTGAGTTTGGAATTCCATTCCTAATCCTACTGGGAGGTTGGCTACTCATAACACCAAATAAAACTGTACTTACAACTAAGTCCCCTGAGCAGGTTAGATAAGTAGACTTTCTAGTTGGTTTAGAAGTACCATTCAACCTCCAAGTACACCCGCCAAACCTTCGAAAGTCATGATCGGAGCTTTCTAGGTCTTTACCGCGTAGTCCCTTTGGCGGTTTGGAGCGCCCTGGTGTGAATGGACACAGCCTTGGTGTAGTCACGGGATTTTTGGAATGCCTCGGAGGTGAAAGTGAGAGCTGCTGTTCGCCCTAATTATACACCAATCCCGAAGCCCCACAAGCCCTCGGCTCAAAGCACAAACTGGGCCTGAGTCTGAGGGAATCCCGAACCTGCCATTCTTGGCAACGTTCTGGGAGCCCTAGCCCTTACTTTAGTGTTTAGGGTTTAGGGTTTAGGGTTTGGGGTTTAGGGTTTAGGGTTTAGGGTTTAGGGGGCCTAGGGTTTCGGGGGTTGAATCGGGCCCTTAACCCGAACCCCAAAACCCAGAGACACGTGCAACAACCCCCGCCAATCCTCCAAGAGGCCCTCTCCCGCTGCCTGAGCAGCGTCCTCGGTGCTCTGCGTGGCCGGCTGGGCCCTGCCACCGTGGAGGCTCCACCCCAAACCCTAAACCCTAAACCCTAAACCCTAAACCCTAAACCCTTAAACCCTAAACCCTAAACCCTAAACCCTAAACCCTAACCCTAAACCCTAAACCCTAAACCCCTTTAAAGTTTCGGGTTTGGGGTAAATGGACTCTTATAAGCCTTAGGTATCAGGGTTGGACTTGCCTCTAAGCCCTGAGCCTGTGGCCCCCTGAGCGCTACGTTGCGGGGGACTCTGTATCCTAAACCCTAAACCCTAAACCCTTCACCCTAAACCCTAAACCCTCACAGCCGTGAGACTGAACAAACTTAGTAGCCCAGTGGTACCCTTTGCCCTTTTTTTGGTTATGGGCTCCCTTCTACAGTAGCCACCCCAAAAAAGGGTGCCCTTATCATAATATGGCTACTTGGCTACTAAGCAAAAACATGGAGGTTTGAGCAACATTCTGGGCCAGTTATGAGACAGCGAAGCCTGATCCCTCAACCATCCAAGCACTTCGTTTCCTACGTTGGGATACGTATGGGGTTCCGAGCTATAGGTCAGTGGGCTATTTGATACTTAGTGGCCCTTCTTGGGTTTTAGAGGATCATATGTACCTTGTGGTGCTTTACCGTAACTTTAGATCCTTGGCCTTTTGGGGTTTATGGGTTTCCTAGTAAGGCAGCTGAAATTTAATTTGTAGCTACCCTCCTAAGTGCAGCCAAGTTTAGGAATGTGTTTCAGAGGTTTGTTTTGAAGGGCCATCCCAGCTCACGCAACCCCCGAAGGGTTCAGGGTTTAGGGTTTAGGGTTTAGGGCCAGTTTAGGGTTTAGGGTTTAGGGTTTAGGGTTTGGGACCCCACGACCCGAAATCCAGGACTTTGCGAGCCTTCTCGCTGCCGACACGCCGCCGCACTGGATATCAGACTGGATCGTGGAGGCCAAGTCCTGTGTTTTATTCGGATCTAAGGGTTTAGGGTTTAGGGTTTAGGGTTTAAGGGTTGAATGAAAGGGGATGAGGCCTGTTTGATTTCGGGTTTGGGGTGTTGAGGGGGGTTTAATAGCGTGCAGACTTAGCTGCCCCATCGCGAGCCTGGCGACCCAGACCCGAACCCCTCAGCCTTCGCTTGCACAACTTGCGCTTCATTGCACTCCTGGATAGAATCGTCCCAGAAGGGGGAAGGGGGCGGGAGGGGGGGGCGGAGCTCTACTTCAGGGTTCGGGTTGAGGCGAGCAGTTCCGATGCTTCCACGCACACACACAGGTCTGCCAGGCTTACCAGACATGGTCGAGTTGGGCTTCGGCGTTTGAGGGTTGCAAGGTTTTTGGCTTCATTGGGGTGAAGGGGGTTTAGGGATCATGGCTTTAGGGCTGATAGGATGTATGGGGTTTATGGCGTTTATCAGGTTGAGAAGCTTCAGAGGGTTTAGCACAGGATTTAAAGGGCTTCTTGGGTTTCTTTGAGGTTTCTGAGGCTGCTAGGGTTTCCATGGCTCCTAGGAGTCATGTCATCCGTCCGTTACCCTCGACGGGAAATCCGAAGGCCTTTGTTATAAGCAGCAAAGCCCGGTAGATGAAACACTCTCGGCCTAATTGCTAGAAATAAGCCAGCAAGCCACACTTAGAGAGGTGCTTAGGATCAATCTAAAGTATCGGACTGCGTGGGGTTTCCGTCGGGTTTTCCTTTGATCTGTTTCCAAGATGCCCTGCAGCCTGCACTTAGTACCTGCAGCCTGCGCTCCCTTGAAACCCCATTCTACAAAAAAAGGGCACCCTCTGGGCGACCTAGTACGTCGCAGCAGAGCAAAGTATCTGCAGACGGGGCAAATTTCCCATGGTGCGCCCTGGATCCCACGTGTCTTGGGGATTCTTGCTGGGCGTCGGCTCGGCCGCATGCGCCGCTGCGGTCTGCATGTGGCTTGGGCACAGCCAGCTGGACCCTGTCCCTGTCACGGCAGCCAGCTCCTCAACGCCCGGGGCATGCCGCAAGGACCCGATGTATCCCCATCGCTGGGGCTGTCCCATTGATTGCAAGCCACACCGGGAGGCAGCCGAGCTCCCAGAAGCAGCTGTTGTTGACAGCTGGTGGACTTTCATCTCCGGGTTCGGTTTCGATCCCAATCGGCGAAAGCCAGATTCAGTCAACGTGTCCAGTGATAATTTCTGGGAAGCTGTTGTGACAAAGTACGAGGAGGTAGCTGCCCACTTCAAGCAAAGGAACGACACCTCTTGCCGTTATCATGCGGCTAGCCCCAAGGAGGCGCACGTTGCCGTCATCTACGGTTGCTGCCAAAGCCTTGAAGAGCTCAGGACCATCGGCCATGTGTTTGAGACATGGCAAGATGACTTCTTCGAGCCCTTCGAAGTACGTTTTGATGAAGTGAGATGCTCGCAGCCCAACGACAAGGAGATTAGCATCGTCATCGAGGCGGATGCCGAGTCCAGGCACAAGATTTCGAAGGTGGCCGCTGGGATTGAACGACACCTCTCGCAAGAAGGCTGCCCAGTGGTAGTTCCCCAGGAAAAGAACCTCATGCCCCATGTGACCCTCGGAACTTTCTTAGGTGGCGCCTCATGCCTGGATATCGAGGCCGAGCTGGCCCTCCTCAACAGACGCTGGCGCGCCATGGGCGTCAGTAGGCCCGCCTTCCTCCTGGAGTGCGTGGGCGTGTCCTTTGGCGCAAGCTGGCGCCGGCAGGTCGCGAGGCGCGAGAGGTGGAGCTTCGCTCTGCCCAGGGGCCGGTGCGCGAGCGCGAGCCGAACTTAGGGTCCGCGGCGGCCCACGTGCATTCCTGGGGGTCTACCTTGGACCCCTAAGGTTGTACCCTTGGGTTTGGGGACCCCTTCTCAAGATTCCTAAGGGAAGATAGGGGCCCTGTTTAGGAGTATACTAAGGGAAGCCTCGAAAAGGGGTACAAACGAAAAGGGGTACAAACTTAGGGGTCCGAGTATCATGCAGTTGGTGAAGGGGGTTAAGTACGATTCGGGGGAGGGAAGTTGATCTGACAGCCACACAGAGGGCTTCAAAGCAAAAGCCCGGCCATGCGTCTTCGAAAAATGAGGCGCTGTGAGTCTAAGCCCTGAATATCCCTGAACCATAAACCCGAATTGGGCTTCTCTTGTGCACATGGGAGAGAGGGGCAGAGACAGAGACAGAGAGAGAGAGAGAGACGAGTCAAGGGTGTGAACCATGTGACCCACACCCCCTCCCACACGCCACAGCTTTGAAGGACGTTGTAGAAGCCCCAAGCCCACACATCCGACACAAACACTGGAACCTTCTACAAGTAAAGCCCCAAGCACATCTCAACTCTAAGCGTCCGCAGAGATCCGAAGCCAAAAGGACCGCGGTCCGTCCAGGGCGTGGTTTTTGTAGGATTTTAGGGCTAACCCCGCCTAAACCCCCTAAACCTCCTAAACTCTAAACCTCCTAAACCCGAAACCCTAAACCCTAAACTCTAAACCCTAAACCTCCGGAGGCCCCCCGACTGCCTTTGCCAGGAGACCCTCCCGCCCGAGGCGGCGCCTCCGGCGGAGGAGCCCTTCTTGGGTTTCGGGTTTAGGGGTTAGGGGTTTAGGGTTTCAGGGTTTCAGGGTTCAGGGGTTGAGGGTTGAGGGTTTAGGGTTTTGTTCTAGACCTTATAGGCTTATAGGGTTTAGGGTTCAGCTCCCTGAGCTTGTATAGAGCCCAAGCACCACCTAAGACAGGGGTCCCCAATTCTGCCCCTCTAAAGCGGCACCCCCGCCCCCCCCCCCCCTCCAAAGAAAAGAAGAAAGACAACAGTACACATACCCTGAGGTTTGTATAAAGCCCGGGTGCCCAGCGACTTTGGTTCTAGGCCCTGTCAAGTAACCAGTGTTACCCGTTGAGGGGACCCCGAACCTCTAAGCCCTGAGGTTCAGTGTCCGGCCCCCTTTTTAAAGGGCTGCAGTTTGGGATGTTCCACCTTAGACTCACAGTCCTTAAGAGGGATGTTACTGGATGATACCTGGGGGGGAGGGGGGGGTACGTTAATATGAAGAACTGTTAGGATAAGGGGGATCCCAGGCTGCAGTGCCGGATCTGAGTTTGCGCAGAAAATGCACCCGAGCTCAGGAGCCTGTGCAGCTGGCGGCCGGCGCCAAAGACGCGCCCAAAGAGGCGCCACGAAGCCCTGGCTCCTCATCCCCAAACCCTAAACCCCTAAACCCTAAACCCTAAGCCCTAGGTTCAGGGTCCCCTTGCTCGTGCCAAAGACCCAAGTTGTAGGGTTTAGAGCTTAGGGTTGAGGTGTGCCCCCCTTAGACTATTAGCCCTTAAAAGGGATTCTAGTACCCTCTCTTGCAATCCCTATTTAGGACTAGCAGTGTAGTATAAGGAACATCCCAAGTTCTGGGTTCCCAAGTTGGTGCTCACCAATTCCGATGTACACCCTGGGCTCCATTCCAACTCTGACCAGTCGTGCTTTACAGTGCCCGATCGCCAGTGTGCACGTACGTGTGCGTGTACGTGTGCGCACTTGTGCGCGTGCGCGTGTGTTTGTGTGTCTGTGTGTGCGTGTGTGTGCGCGCATGTGTGTCAGGTTCTCAGAGGCATAGGGTTCCCAACCTAATCTGCAAGCCTGACACTCAAAAGCAACCCCTCCCCCCCCAGACCGCCGAAGCTGACACGGCCCCTGCCGCGGAGAACGCTGAGACATTAGCCAGGGCCCTGGCAGGCCCCACGTTTTACCCTAAATTTGGTTCCAGGCCATCCACCCTACAGGCTCTCTTGGGGTTTAGGGTTTAGGGTTTAGGGTTTAGGGTTTAGGGTTTAGGGTTTAGGGTTTAGGGCCCACTCCCCAAAATCCCCCCAAGTCCTGTTGAGGCCAAGCCCCTGAGATAGCTGGATCACCTTAGAACGACACCCGAACGATCTACAACCCCGAAACCTTAAACCCTAAACCGAATCCCTGCAACCTCGCAACCCTAAACCCCCGAAACCCTAAACCCTAAATCCTATAGTAGTGTCCTCAGCAGCCTCGAGTTCATGACTAAGGGTACGTTGAGTGCTTTAATTTAGCCCCTTTTCCTTTTTTTTGGGGAGGGGTCCTTGAGGGGCATCGTTTTGAGGATTCCGAAAGGGTTTAGGGTTTAGGGTTCAGGGTTCAAGGCCGGATGGCTATTCGGGTTGAGAGCCTGTGGAGTCTTGCGGGTGGGTATGCGGGAGCCCTGCCAGCCGAGGTGAGCTTGGACGAGGGGGCACCCCTTCCCCCGGCGCTGGCGCGCGCCCAGGCGCTAGCGGAGGCCATGGGTTGGGGTTGGGTTCAGGGTTCAGGGTTCAGGGTTCAGGGTTCACGGTTCAGGGTTCAGGGTTCAGGGTTTAGGGTTTAGGGTTTAGGGTTTAGGGTTTAGGGATAAGGCTTCTAGGGCTTTTGAGGGTTACGGGCTTTGGACAGGGGTTGGGGGCTTCAGGGGAAACGTATCCAGCTTTACTGGATAAGGTCGCACCAACAGGCCCCCTCGGACAGTAGTTTGCCTCACTGGGCTTTCGAGGCCAATAAACTGGCCGATGAAGCTGCAGAGGCTGCAAGTAGAGCCATCGAAGCCAAGCTGGAGCATCGGCTTGCTAGAGAGTACAACAAGTGGTTGGACTGTCGCACTTGGGAGCTTCAGAGGCACTTGATAAACTGTGCCCAGTTTTGGCTTCGCACTGGTGTGACCAAGGGCCAAATTCAGGGCCCCAAACAGGCCACCAAGCCGCAAGTCTTGGAGCATCTGAGGGTCACTCACCCTGGTCATCCCTGGTGGCAGGCTTTGCCTTGCTTGCGGTCTCAGGGTTTCTGTCAACTGGCCCCGTAGTAAGATGCTCCAAGTTGCTGCCTTGCCGTGTTACGGTACCGGTCACGACCTCAGACTTTTCGGCGTCCATGTTTCCCATGACATGCACAGGGCTGCCGTAGGCTGGAAGTGCAAGGGTTGTGGTGGGTCTCTCAAGCTTCATCAGTGTTTGGGCGGCCTTCCACGCCGTTGGCAGCTAGGGTGCAGATAGTTTCCCCCTTTTCCCTTCGCTAGAGCGATGTAATCGCATAGGAAAAAAAAGGCTTCAGGGGTTTCAGGGTTCTGGGGTTTCGGGCGAGGAGGAGGCTCAGGGGGTTTGGGGTTTCGAGGCCTCAAGCAGGTGGTCAAAGCTCTGACACTAAACCCTAAACCCTAAAACCCTATAAAACCCTAAACCCCTAAAACCCTAAAACACTAAAGCCCCAAAACCCTAAAACCCTAGAACCCAAAAAAACCTAAAACCAAAAAAAACCCTAAAACCCTAAAACCCTAAACCCTGGAGTCTAAACCCTACACACCCGAAACCCCACTGCTGGGCAACTTTAGGCCTGGCGCGCCAGTTGGGGAACCTTAGGGAAGCTTAGGGAACCTCAGAACCCTAAACCCTAAACCCTAAACCCTAAACCCTACAAGCCAGGCTCCCCCTTTCACAGCTGCCGCTGCTGTGCGAGAGCTTGCGCCGCTCCCGACTGAGGCGTGCTGAGGGGGCGGTTTCGGGTTTCGGGTTTCGGGTTTCGGGTTTAGGGGGTTATAGGACTTAGGGTTTAGGGTTTAGGGTTTAGGGTTAGGGTTTAGGGGTTAGGGCTTAGAGCTTAGGGCTTAGGGTTTAGGGTTTAGGAGGGCTTACCGGGGCAGGCAGGAAACTTAGCGGGCTGAATAGGGTCCAAAGGCTTAGCGCTTCTTCAGGGTTCGGAGTTTATAGTTCTCAGGTTTTGGCGTTCGGGCTTTTGAAGGGTTTAGGCCGTTAGAAGGCTTGGGGTTTAAGGGCTTGAGGCTGTGAGGGTTTCAGGGGACCCAGCAAGAGTCATTCGGCGGTTCGGCCGTGGATTCTTGATGCTCAGGATTCTTATGCGACCGCTTGGTTTTAGGACTTAGGGCTTTGGGTTTAGATTTAGGGTTTCAGGGCTTAGGGTTTCAAGTTTAGGGTTTGGCGTGTTAGAAGTCAGAAGCCCTTAGCCCCTAAACCCTACAAACCCTAAACTCTATAAACCCTCTTCAGAGGATTGTCAGGGCCGTCCCAGTAATGGGGAGTTGTTATGTGTCTGACCCCAAACCCTAAACCCCTGAACCCTAAACCCTAAACCCCTAAACCCTAAACCCTAAACCCCTGAACCGTAAACCCTAAACCCTAATCCTTAAGCCCTACACCCCGAAACCCCGAAATCCCGAAACCCCGAAACCCCCTTAACCTAATGTCTGTGTCGTTTGTGAGGGCGACCTGGCGAATGAGCTGCCTCTGCCGGACCCGACAGTGGCGCCGCCGCGCCAGGCCTTCGTTTGCAGGGTTTTCAATTATGTCAGGGCTGCAGGGTTCAGGGTTTAGGGCTTCTAGGGCTTCTGTAGGGCTTGTTTTTTTTTTGGGAATGCCGCTTTTGTTTCTTGGTCGTAGGGTTTAGGGTTTTAGGGTTTTTGGGGCCTGGGTTCTGGGTGTTGGCAGTCTCGTTTTCTTCTGTGCGCGCGCGGGAGTGTTTGGGGTCAGGCTCTCCCATGACATCAGGAATACTCAGTGTGCCCTAAGCCCTGCGGACCCTAAACCCTAAACCCTAAACCCTATCAACCCTAAATCAAGAATCCGAACCTGACGAAAAGTGGAAGATGGGCACCACTGGCCCTTGTTCACAAAGTCAACCCCAGGTAAGGTCTGTCGATGCGCTCCTAAGTCGTGCCAGAATGGCCAAGTCCTTATTCTGGGTTTAGGGCTTAGGGATTGGGGTTTGGGTTTAGGGTTTAGGGGCTAATAGGGTTTCAGGTTTCTTTTGTTATATTCTTCTACTGGGCTGTCGATCATGTTGAAGGATCTTGTGTTTTCAGCTCTCAGAGTTTCAAGAACCAGCCGCGGCAATTGGCGAAGCACTTCGCCAGATCCCCGCTTGCCCCTGACTAGGCTTCTGGCTTCTGGCAGCGTCCTAAACCCCGAACCCGGAACCCCAAACCCTAAACCCTAAACCGGGGTTTAGGGTTTAAGCTTTAGGGCGTAGTAGCTTAGCGCCTAGGGTGTGACTTCAATGACACCCTGACAGAACCCCACAAAAGAGCCGCTGAAACTCCAGAGAGGCTTGTGCTCTGGAGCCTTGCACACTTCCTAATACCGCGCAATAGACATGCACCCCGGCTGAGGGTTTAAGGGGTTCAGGGTTTAGGGTTTAGGGTTTAGAGTTTAGGGATTAGGGTTTAGGGTACCGAAAAAAACCCTAAACACCCCAAACCATGAGCCCCAAACGCTAAACCCTAAACCCAAAGCACCATGAGCCCCACTGCCGCTGGGAGGAGACCCCGAAGCCTTTGGAAGAGAAGGTGCCGCAGGAGCGACCCGAGGCGTGGGTCGGTGGGGAAGTGTCAGTGGGTTTAGGGTTTAGGGTTTAGGGTTTAGGGCTTAGGGTTTAGGGTTTAGGGTGAGCCAAGAACCCAATCCCTTGACCCTATCACACTTCCAGGCGCCTAAGCCCCTGGATCCGGATGCCCAGGAGGAGGCCAACTTCTTGATTTTCAAGGGACTAAAGGAGGGACCCTTATGAGGGATCTTCGGGGTGATTTCGGGGTTACTTAGAGGCTACAGAGGTATATAGGGCTTTTCAAGGTAAAAATCGTTAGGAGTTATATAGGGGAATAAGATTAAGGGCCCCTTCTAGGGGTCCCTCCTTATACCCCTTTAAACTTCTTAAGACGCAACCGATCTGAAACGTCTGACCTGAAATGGGGGTTTACGAGAATAAGAGACCCCGAAAGAAGACCCCCAAATAGTAGGACCGCCTTCCCATGAGGACCCCGAAGTGTTCCCCGAAACCACGTCTACCTTAAATGGCACACCGCAGAGTCTCAACCCAAACCCCCAAACCCAAAACCCTAAACCGAAAACCCTTGTCAGAACCCTGAACCCTAAACGCTGGGCCGGAACCTTCGTCCTAAGCATGAAGGACTCTGCAGTCTGTTTGGTTGAGGGTTGGGGTTCCCTAGGACTTGAGATTCACAAGTCTTTTAGGTGTCGGGCTTAAGATTCAGGGTTTAGGGTTTAGTGCTCAAGGTTCACAAAGCTTTAGGTGTACCAGGTGCTCTGCAGGGGGGCTTGCATTCGTCGGCTCTCGGGCATTGCTATCGCTCTAGCACGCCCATATCCCAAGACAATCACGGTTTATCCAACGAAAAAGCGTTCATAGAAGCACTACTTAGAACGAACAAAGCCATCATAGCAGCACTCTTTTGCAAAAAAGGCCCTCTTCTCTGATTATGAAATGAAGCTGCACGAACCAACACCCGAACGCAGATGTTCCTGATTCGAGGGGATCTGGCGCCAGTTCAAAAGCACGGTGCACCCGCAAGTCCTTAACTTTACTTACTGGCCCTTCAGTAGGGAAATTAGGTGCCCCGTGCTCACCCTTAAGGGCGCATGCTTAGTGGGACACCCTGAACCCTAAACCCTAAACCCTAAACCCTAAACCCTAAACCCTAAACCCTAAACCCTAAACCCTAAACCCTAAACCCTAAACCCTAAACCCTAAACCTCACTTCCCTAGTAAGAGCTCGGCACTCTTACAGACCTGCCAGCACCAGGTCTTCGAGCAGACGCTGCCCAGAAGCTCGGGCTCGGGTCGCCCACCCCCATCCCGGAGGTGCCCTTTAGGGTTTAGGGTTTAGGGTTTAGGGTTTAGGGTTTAGGGTTTAGGGTTTAGGGTTTAGGGTTTAGGGTTTAGGGTTTAGGGTTTAGGGTTTAGGGTTTAGGCTTCCCCCACCCACAATTTTCCGAGCCCAGGCCGCGGCAGAGTGGCATCCCCCAGAGTTTGGCGCAGCGCGCGCAGCGCCGGGTGCCGAAGCAGCTGCTGCGCGAAGAGGTCCGGTGGAGTTGGGGTTTAGGGTTTAGGGTTTAGGGTTTAGGGTTTATAGGGTTTAGGGTTTAGGGTTTAGGCTAGGGTTTAGGGTTTAGGTGTAAGTGGGAGTCAGTTCTGGCTACCCATGCGCGGGTCACCGTTGCGAAAGAAATCTATCGACCCTAAACCCCTGGCAGCCCTTGAGCTCCAGACGCCTGAAGGCCGATTCGATATGGGGGGGTTTAGGGTTTATAGGGTTTAGGGTTCAGGGTTTAGGGTTTAGGGTTTAGGTCAGAATTATAATCCCTTTTGAGGTACCCTAAATATCAGGTGCCGTATTGAAGTAGGGATCTGAAAAGGGGACCAGAACTTTGACAACCACCCATATGCCGAAACCCAGGCTTGGGAGAGAAAATTCGTTTTGATTGCCCTAGGACTCTAAACGCTAAGTCCTGAACTCTAAGCCCTAAACTCGACACCCTGAACCCCTAAACCTTAGAATCCTTATACGTTCCAGCAGTGGAGAGGCCCGGCTCCTGTTGTGGTCCGGCAAGGGGCCTTTCCTGCTCGTCGCCGTCTCAGAGGTTCGGGGCGGCTTGGAGGTTACTAAAGGCTTGAAGCCCGCAAGCCCAGAAGTCTTAAACCCAGATGCCCTAAACTCTAAACCCTATACAAACCCTAAACCCACTTTGGGTTCATGAGCTCATAGGTTGGAGCCGCCCAGCCTCCAAAGACCACCCTTAGGTTTGGAGGGTAGGGTTTAGGGTTAGGGTTGGGTTTAGGGTTTCTGGTTTAGGGTTCAAGGTTTCCGGTTTAGGGTTCAGGGAGGCGTTCTTCTGGCTTCTGTTGTTGGTGCTGGCGTTCTTATCATGGCCTTTTAATATGCCTTTTTAATATGCTGAACATCTTCCGGGAAGCATATTAACCCAGTGCTCCCGAAGAGGGCGGGTAGGGTTTAGGGTGAGAAGGAACGGAACTGAACTCTGAACCCTGACCCTGAGAGACCCCGAACTTCTCACAACTCAAGCGAGCCACCCTAAACCCTACTTCGCGACTTGGTATAGGGTTTGGAAGTTTGGGGTCTGGGGTTTAGGGTTCAGGGTTTGGATGTAAGTTTTGCTGGATTCAAGCATGGACTGCCAATTTCCTTGCGGAAATGACGCAGGCCCGAGGCATTGTGCGCAGATTGGGCCTAGGCCCCTGAACCCTAAATCCTAAGCCCGAAGCCCCAAGCCCTAATCCCTAAGCCCTACGTTACATGAATCCAGCGGCACTGGTGAGAGCAACACCTGCACACCCTGGCGGTGCCAAGGCTTCGAGCCATCTTCAACTCGTGAAACCTTTCAACTGAACCCCTAAACCCTAAACCCCTGAACCCCTAAACCCCTGAACCCCTAAACCCCCAAACCCTAAACCCCCAAACCCTAAAACCCTAAACCCCTAAACCCCCAAACCCCCCCACACTCCGATGCTCAGGAGTGCTTGCCCCTAAACCCTAAACCTAGGAGTGCTTGCGCCACCTCCTGGCTGCTGACTTCGCCACAGCCCCCGAGCTCTTCCGCAACGTCACCGCGGGGGCCAGCGGCCAAGGGGGGACATAGAAGGTTTAGGGTTTCGGGTTTAGGGTTTAGGGTTGAAAGGGTTTTGGGTTTTGGGTTGAAGGTGGGGGGGGGGGGGGGAAGGGGGCGTACCTTAAATCTTATGCCTTGTTTGCGGGGAGGGTACCTGGTAGAACATACTTATTGTCATGATGCTAACATGATGGGTGACCATGAGGGTCCCGACTATCATTACAGCGAACTGGAAAAAGGCCCTGGAAATGCGCCTGGCCGTACGACAAGAAGCCCCAAACGCTAAACCCTAAACCCTAAACCCCATACCCTGAACCCCTAAACCCTAAGCCCTCAACCCCTAAACCCTAAACCCCTAAACCCTAAACCCTAAACCCTAACCCCTGGAGCCCTTAAACCTGCCGCCCATGCACCTGCTTTTGCTCCAGGTGGCCCCTGACAAGGTGGGCAGCGCAGGTCTGGAGGCCCTTGGGCTGTCGTTGGAAGATATGTCATAGTTGGGCCAGGTTTAGGGTTTAGGGTTTAGGGTTTAGCTAGGGTTTAGGGTTTAGGGTAACATTTTCACATTTTGAAGGGTACTTAAACCCAAGAAGGAATAAACATCTGAAAATTTTTACTGCGATCCCAACCATGAACCAGATATGGGGGGTTTCCGAAAATAGGGGGTACCCTTTTGGGGGGTCCAAGGAGGTACCCCTATTTTCGGAAATACCCATATTGTTTGAGATTTACTGCTCTTAATCCCCTATAAAATCCTGATAAGTCCATGAAGATTTAATCTTGATAGGGCCCCTAAACCTACCCAAGGTGTATATCGAGTTGAGGGTTTGGGGGTTCAGGGTTGAGGGGTTTAGGGTTTCAGGGTTTAGGGTAGTGTTCACGGAAAGCAGGCCGAGCGCACCATGGTATACCATGCTGGTGGCTGATAAGGCCTGAACGTACGCCTAATCCCTACCAGCCCTCCCAAACCGTGCCGCCGTTTGGGGTTCAGGGTTTGGGGTTTGGGGTAATCCGAGCACCTGTTTAATTGGTGTGCCCCCCCCCCCCCCCGCCTTTCCCCCTCCCCCCCCCCCCCCCCGCCCCAACGCACCCCAACTCCGCCCCCCCCCTCCCCCCCCGCACCCCGCCCCCGCGCCCCCCCCCCCCCCCGCCCTCCCCCCCCCCCCCCCCCCCCCCCTCCCCCCACAATAAGAAAGGCAGGGCACCGCAATAATAAGACCATGGCAATGTATTGATTCTCTATTGAAAAAAGGAATGTATTGAAAACAATAGGGCTTCCCCACAGGGCCTCCCACAAAGGGGTCCCTTTTCATACGTGTGATGCTGTCTTTGCCGGGCAGAGCCCAGAAGAGGTAGCTCAGGAAAGAATGAAGACTCTCCTCAAGTAAGCAATCACATAAGACATCCCAGCTTTCTGAAGGGCCTCAGCTTCTGGAAAAAGGAAGCTTCAGCTTCTTTAACGCTTTTACTTGTAAGTTTCACCGAAGCAAAATGCAGCTCACAAAGAAAGCACGAAAGCCGACAAATGCTTTGCCCCCCCCCCCCCCCCCCCCGAGAAAAAAGAAAATCTTTAAATGTGGTGGTATTGGCCGATACGAAAACCCCCGCAATGAAAAGTAGTCTTCCGGCGGGTTTCTCGACGAAAAACAGTTCTTGAAATGTGGAGGTATTAACTCAACAGGTGCTCGGATTAAAGGGTTTAGGGTTTCGGGTTTTGGGGGGTTTAGGGGTTTAGGGTCAAGCTCCTAAACCTCCAACCCAAGCCCAGACTCCTTTCGCTAAACCCCATATCCCAAGCCCTGAGAACCCTGAAAGCCCTCCCTAAACCCTACAAAAATCACACACGTCCGAACATCCCGAAACCCAAGCCCTAAAACACCCTAAGCCCTAGAAAATTCTAGAAACCCTAGAAACCCTAAACCCCAAGCCCGAAACCCCAAAAGCCCAAACCCCCCTAAGCCCTAAAAAACCCTAAAAGCCTCTGACAGGATCTGGATGAAGCATTAAGGCGAGCCGATGTGGTGCTCCCACTCGAGGTGGGGAGGTTAGACGGACTTTTCCATCTTAGGGTTTGGGGTTTAGGGGGGTTTAAGGTTTAGGGTTTAGGGTTTAGGGTTTAGGGTTTGGGGTGTAGGGTTTAGGGGATAGGGGTTCAGGGGTTCAGGGGTTTGGGGTTTAGTGTTTAGGTCGAATATTTACGGTGTTTTATTGGCAAGGTTTGGGGCTTGGGGTTTGGTGTTTAGGGTTGGGTGTTCAGGGTTTGTTGTAAAGGGCATTTGGGGTTTTGGGTTTAATGTTTCGAGGGTTTCGAGGGTTTCGAGGGTTTAGTCTAGTTACTGGCAGGAACGAAAACTCAAAAAAATCCCTGATTAAACCCTAGACCCTAGACCCTAAACCCTAAATTGCACCCCTGACTGTTCGGGCAGCTTTGCCGCAGGCACTTGCGGCAACATGGGCTGCTGCCATCCAGGAGGTGTCCTCTGCTATACGTATAGGCCCTCAGAACCCTAAATTTAGGGTTTAGGGTTTAGGGTTTAGCGTTTAGGGTTTAGGGTTTAGGGTTTAGGGTTTAGGGTTTAGGGTCTAGGGTTTAGGGAACCCTAAGCCCCAAAGTCTAAACCCTAAACCCTGAACCCTAAACCCTAAACCCTAAACCACCCCAAACCTTAGAAAGTTACCTCCAGGCCTAGGTCACCGACCCCACAGGCCCTTCGCCCGAATCCCTGGGGAGTAAGCCTTACAGGGTGGGGCCCCCTAGTTATAAGTAGAGTTATTTTAAGGGGCTGCGCCCATGGGCGGGCAGCGTACGCAGAAGCCCGGGGCGAGCAGTTTCTAAGCATGTTGAGGCCCCTAAACTCCCTTAAAATCTCTAAGCATTAAGTTTCTAAGCATTTTCAGGCCCCTAAACTCCCTTCAAATCTCTAAGCGTTTGAGGCTCCGAGACTCCCTTAACGTTTCTAAGCACTTTATAAGGCCCCTAAACTACCTTTTTCCTAGCCCCGGGCTTAGACACGTCGCTTATGCCCGCCCTTTGGGGGGCATCATGCTCCTGATGCCCCCCCGCGGTCCCGCCCCGGGAGCCGCTGATGCTCCTGATGCGCGCCTGGGGGTCCCGGCCTGGACCCGCTGATGCTCATGATGCGCGCCCTCTGGGGGCCTCCGTGGCGACGCAAAAAACAACGAAAAAAAAACCGTTCACCGGCGGCACGCGGGGGTCGGCGGCACTGGCGTCCGGCCTAATTCTGCTTCGCAGAAGGCCAGAGGCCAGCAAGGCTATTCCCGGGACGACCCGGGCTAAAAGGTCCGCATTTGCTCGGTCCTTTGGGGACCTCGCGCTGCCCGATTTCAGGCCTAGCGGCACGGGCCGGCCCCCGCCCCCCACAGCACGAAACCTTGAACCTTGGCACTGTCTTCTCTTTCCCGTGTCTTTGTCCTCTCCTTCTCTCTGTCTCTCTTTCTCCTGCCTTCGCCCCCCCTCCCTCCCCCCCCCTCCCCCCCCGGCGCGCGCGCGCGCGCGCGCCGCGCGCGCGCGCGCGCACCCGCATCAGGAGCATCAGTGGGGTTGGTTTGGGGGCCTTAAAAGCATTCTATGCATGCGTTTTGCCTTCGAAAAACCTTCAGAAAACGCTGTAAACACGTGTTTTTGGGCCTGGGAAGCCTTTTGGAACCCAGGAAAGGGAGCATCATGAGCATCAGCGGCCTCCCCCAGGCCATCCAAAACCCCCTTAAACACGCCGATTGTATGTGCTTGAACCCTTGCGTGCCCACGAAACCCCCAAAAGCAAGACCCCGAATGCCCTTAAGGGCATTTGGGGTCCTGCTGTTCGGGTGTTTTGTAGGCGCGAAGCCGTTCGAGCGCGTAAAATGAGCGATTTTAGGGGCGTTTTTACGTGGACCCACAAAACACTCGGTATTTACGAGGTTTTCTGCTGTTGGAACCCCCCCCCAAACCGAGCATCATGAGCATCAGCTGGGTCTCTGGGCCGTCGGCCCGGACCCCCCCACGAAGCCCATGAGAAGCGATGGCTCGATGATGCGCCCGGACCCCGCGCATCAGCAGCATCAGCAGACCCCCCCCCGGACGTGGGTTTCGATGATGCGCACTTTGGGGGCGGGTCAAGGGCAACAGGGGTGGGGGTCGGAGGCACGCGTGAAAAACCTCATAAAAACACGGTATTTACGGTGATTTCAGCGTTTTTCAGCGTTTTTTGCTGCCTTGGGGCCGCGGGCCAGGGCTGCTGATGCTCATGATGCTCGCCTGGTTTTGGGCTTCCGGTACCCCCCCCAAACCTTGAAAAACGTGGTTTCGGCCTGGCGCGCGCCCCATGTGAAAAGCTAGGGTCGATGATGCGCGCCTGTGAGGGTTTAATGGGGTGCTGCGGGTGTTTTGTGGCCTCGGTTTTTCGTAAAAAACCATGGTTTTTACGTGGTTTTCGTGCTTTTCGCACCACCGTGTGTTGCGTCCCCTTGGATGCCGTTTTGGAGGCCTCCCGAAGGGCCCCGCGCGAATTTGAAGCAATGTTGGGCGGGGTCGGCGCCTCGGGCGCTCGCCCCTTAAAGCTAGCGCTTTAGTGCGACGCGGGCTCCGCCCTGGACCACGGGCGGCGCGGGGGCCGGATTTGATGGCTACCGCCAGTGCCGCCGACCCCAGACCCAAGACAGTCGCATTGGGGCGGAAGGCAGGGTGGAGCGCGGGCAGGCCGGGGGGGCGGGGGCGGGGGGGGGGTGGGGGTGGGTGGGGGTGGAAAGGGGGGCGGCGGTGGGGGGTGAAGGCAGGGGTGGACTGGGGGGCATAGAGATGAAGAAGCGATGAGAGCGGTGAGAGCGGGGGGGCGGTCGGATGGTGCACGATGGTGGGAGGGGGTAATGATGAGGGTTGGTGGGAGGGTTAGGGAGTGGGAGTGGGAGAGGGTGGGGGCGGCTGGCGAAAAGGGGGGCTGACTCATTTGACCAGCTCTGGTGAGAGGGTTGGGGCGGAAGGCAGGGTGGAGCGCGGCGGGTGGACAGGGGAGGTGACGGTCGAGGGTTGGTGGAGTTGGGGGAGGGGAGTGATGAGAGCGGGGAGGCGGTTAGGGCGGGCGTGGATTGGAATCCCTCAAACGAGATTTGTCAGGGGCGGAGGGCCTACGGGATGGGGGGGGTTCAGACTGGGGGGCATAGGGAGGGGAGAGATGGTCAGGGGGCGAGGCCTTTCGGGTGAGGGGTGGCGGGGGGGGTGGGGGGGGGGGGGGGGGGTGGGGGGGGGTTGGGGGGGGGGGGGGGTGGGGGGGGGTGGGGGGGGGGGGGGATTGTCAGGCCGAAGGGATGGGGGGGGTGGGGGGGTGGAGGGGGGGGGGGTGATGTGAGAGCGGTGAGGGCGGGACTGCAAGACTGGTCAGGGCCGAGTAGGGGGGGGGGGTGGGGGGGTGGGGGGGGGGGGGGTGGTCGAGGCGGGGGGGGGTGGTCGGGCATGCAGACCCTTTAAACCACCTGAATGGATGGGGTGGGGGGGGGTCAAAGGTCCAATTCAAGGCGTCATGGGTGAGGGCGATGGGTGGCGGGGTTTGGGCATGCACTGAAGCCAAACAATGCAAAAACACTCCAATTCAAGGTGTCATGAGCAGCATGCTGTGAGAGCGGGTGAGGGCGGTGAGGGCGGTGGGGGGTCTTCACTGACGCCGCCCTGCTACCGCTGGGGTCGGCGGATAAGGGCCCTAAATTGGGTTATAAGGACCCTAAGTTAGGTTATAAGTCCCTTAACTACAGTTAGTATAGTAAGGGGGCCCCACCCTGTAAGGGTCTGGAGAACTGCGTCTGACGCCCTAGACTTCTAGGCAGAGGCTCGGACACCGAAGGATCGTGTCCTTGCTTAGGGTTTCGGGTACCCCTATAAACCCTAAACCCTGAATCCTTATACTTATGAGGGTTTAGGGTTTAGGGTTTAGGGTTTAGGGTTTAGGGTTTAGGGTTTAGGGTTTAGGGTCCATTATGATGGTCTATTGTGCGCCTCAAGGGTGTGTCCTTTGTGTGGGGACGTTTCCAAGAGCCCTTTCAGCAATGTAGGAGTATGTCGTAGGAGCATATGGAGAAAAGCTAGGGTTGAGGGGTCGGGGTTGGGAGGTTCCCCCTTACAACTCACAGCCCTTAATCGGGAATCTGGTACCCCCCCCCCCCCCCCCCCCCCCCCCCCCATGAAAAATGCTATTAAGGAGCTGCTAGTCTAAGAGGGAACATCCCAAGGTTGGGGTGCAGGGATTTCCTAAGCCCTAAACCCTAAACCCTAAACCCTAAGCCCTAAACCCTAAACCCTAAACCCTAAGCCCTATTGAGGGCTTTTTAAAGGGGGCCAGGTTGTGGACCCCTGGAGTCATCGGCCGGCCTCCTGTCCACGCCAGAATCCTATGGGGCAGCATGCCTTGCCTTCTAATCTAAACCCGGTTAAGGGTTTAGGGTTTAGGGTTTAGGGTTTAGGGTTTAGGGTTTAGGGTGCCAGGTTGGCCTCTGTGCAGATGCCCGGGCCGCGCCGGGATATCGGCTTACCTACGCCCAGCAGGGAAGCCTGGTAAGAAGGGCTCGTCGGGGTTTTGGGATTGTTGAAGGATTTGTTTTTGTGTTTGTTTTGTTTTTTTGGGGTTGGGGGGAAGGGGTTTCGGGGATTTATATAGGGATTTTTGGGGTGGGATTTTCGCGGATTTTAATTGCGCACAGGATCTCATACTTCCAGGGCCTTGTGTAAGTGTTCCGGGTTCTATTCTTAATTGTGCGCCGGCGGGGGCTCGCGAACTTTCAGCGCCAGGGATCGTTGGGTCTACATTGGGATGTTCCCCTTAAAAGGGGATTATTGTACCTCCGATTGTAATCCTTGTTAAGGACTCTTTGTATAAGTGGAACATCTCAAAGGTTTACATGTGGTTTGCCTGCCATCATGTGCCAGGGAAGTCTTCTTGAAGGTAGCCCAAACTAAGTAGCCGACAGTCGAGTCGAGAAGATCCGGTAAACCTGTACCGTGCAGACCCTAAACCCTAAACCCTAAACCCTAAACCCTAAACCCTAAACCCTAAACCCTAAACCCTAAACCCTAAACCCTAAACCCTAAACCCTAAACCCTAAACCCAACTCCACGACTAACGCGGGCTACTGCGGCCAGCAGGTTTGCCCAAGCGTTCTCCAAAGGCATGACGAAAGGCGGGCCGCCTTTTTGCTTCGGATATGGGGAGGCGGGCGAATGGCCCCTGGACGATCTAATCAGCTCTTGGGTTTGAATCAGCTCTTGGGTGTGGGGGGCTGAGTCCAAGCCCCAACCCCAATTCCAAGTCTTCGGCCCTACTCTAAAGCCTAAAGCCTAAACCCAAAACTTTAAACCCTAAACCCTAAACAGCCTTTAGGGTCAGGGATGCTATTGTAAACGTTGCCCATCGAAAAGGGATCCTGGGTTGGCTGTGGACATCGGTAGTGTGCGTTTAGGATTCAAGGTGTAGGGTTTAGGGTTTAGGGTCGGAGTTTGGGCTCCAGAACCCCCCCCCCCCGGTCCTCCCTACTTTCCTGTTGCGGGTTTAAGTTCGGGGTCTTACAGGGTTTGGGTAGAGCCTAAACCCTAAACCCTAAACCCTAAACCCTGATCAAGTAAGCTACATACACCCTCAGCTCGCTCCGGTTGATTCACCTGAGTCACCAAAGCCTCCGACACACCAAAGGAAGCCCTACGCACCCTAACCCCCCCAACCCCAGGGTTTAGGGTTTAGGGTCTAGGGTTTATAGGGTTTATGGGGTTTATAGGGTTTATAGGGTTTATAGGGTTTGTAGGGTTCATAGGGTTTATAGGGTTTATAGGGTTTTTAGGGTTTTTAGGGTTTTTAGGGTTTTTAGGGTTGATAGGGTTCAGGGTTTCGGGTTAGGGTTTAGGGTTTGGGGCCTCTTTCCCCAAAGACGGAGCACGAGGAGCCACCCCCGCCTCCACCACCCCGGCCCTTCGGAACCCCGCGCGGCCGGCATCGGCGAGCGGCCAGCGGCTCACTGCGTCGTTCAAGGCCTGGACTAGGGTTTAGGGTTTAGGGTTTAGGGTTTAGGGTTTAGGGTCGCCCAGGGTTGCCCAGGGTTGCCCAGGGTTTAGGGTTTAGGGTTTAGGGTGTAGGGCTTATATAGGAGGCTGATATAGGCTTATTGAGGCTTGTACAGGCTTATAGAGGCTTGTATAGGCTTGTCTGGGCTTATCTGGGCTGATATAGGCTGAGGCTTATATAGGCTTATCTGGGTTGATTTAGGCTGACGTAGGCTGAGATAGGCTGATTTAGGCTTATCTAGGCTCGTCTAGGCTGATCAAGGCTGAAAATTACAAAGGCTTAAATCAGCTTATACGGTCAGTTCTCGAAATTATGGTCCCTTTTTGGGTACTCTAAATGAGAGGGGGTCGCCTTGTCATAAGGACCCCGAAAGGGACCACATTTGAGAGAAGTGTAGGCGTGCAGGGAAACAAGGCCTGCAACAAGGGTAGGGTTTAGGGCTGCACTTTGGTAGTTTTTGTTTTTCGGGGAGAGGGGGGGGAGATCGGAGGGGTGGAGGGGGGAAGGCTTCGGGGATTTTGGATTTTGGGAGTTGCGGTTTTAGGGTCTGGGACTTTCAACGAGCGGTTCCAAACGTGTAGGGCAAGATCTTAATTTAGGGTCGAAGTGCATTTGGGGGCTCAGAATACTCGTTTCCGGCGTGCAGGGTGCTTTTCGAAACATTCGAGTGGCCACCATCTTTAACAAGTGTATGAGTTCGACGCACACCCACGGCCGCACACGCACACACGTCAAGCGCAAATGGTCTAAGCTGTCGCTTGAAATCTTTGACTTTTTGGATTTGGGGCTCGGGGGTTGAGAGACCCTCAGCCGACTGTATTCTAGTAAGTCAATCGCCGGCCGTGCAGACCCTCCGCCGGGACTTCAGCCACGATCGTCACCGGCGGGTCCCATCCCCTTTCAACTCGCACATGCCCTGAGCTCAGATGCTGTCACGGACGCGTTGCTCAAACCATGTGCAATTCGAGCCCAGCATGGAGCCGTAGTATATTAGTGGAATATACAAATGGAGAGAGGCCTAGCCACCCGATCCCTTACCACAAACACAAACACCCAAAGCCTACTTTGCTGCTAAACCACGAGCCACCCAAGCCCCAAACATAGCCTCTAAACTGAACTCTAAACCCTTAAACAGCCCAAAGCCCTTGGCCGAAAGGGGTTTAGGGTTTAGGAGTTAAGGGTTCCGAACCCAGCGTGCCTCTGAGGCCTCGGCCCCTCGTGACGAAGAGCACGCCCACGGCCGCCTCCGAGCCCGTCGCCCAACGGTTTCGGATGTGAAGGTTTAGGGTTTAGGGTTTAGGGTTTAGGGTTTAGGGGTTAGGGGTTAGGGGTTAGGGGTTCGGGCTTGGGGTTTGTGGGTAGGTTTGAGGGTTTAGGGTCTAGCGATTGTAGTTGGTTCTTTGGGATATCCTTGAAGAACCCTTCTTGTTGTGGGACGCAATGACGACTTGAGTGAGTTTTCTCAGGGTCTATAGGGACAACTCAGCAGAGGTTTAGGGTTTGGGGGTCTCTGGGCCTCTGGGGAAACTGCTCGTGGTAAGGTCCTTCGGCGTTCGGTTCATTTTGGGAGCTTTACGTAATGCTTAGGGCTTAGGGTTCAGGGTTCAGGGTTTAGGGTTTAGGGTTTAGGGTTTAGGGTTTAGGGTTTAGGGTTTAGGGTTTAGGGTTTAGGGTTTAGGGTTTAGGGTTTAGGGTTTGGGGTGTTTCGTCTCCTGTCTCGGGTCTCTTGGTCTTGGTGCTTCGGGTCAGTGGCTTTCCAGGATGGGCCATTATACCCTATTTAATCCCTTGAAAGGCCCTTAATAGGGTTCATTATGGGGATCTTAAGGCCTAGTAGCCCATCCTGGTTAGTGGGCATGTTTCAGAGCTTCGGTTTCGGTTTAAGGCTGAAAAGCCCCAAGCACCTCAACCCTAACAACCCCCCCGCCCCCACCCTACACTTTAGACGATAAACCCTAAACCCTTAACCCTAAACCCTAACCCCTAAACCCTAAACCCTATCAACCCTAAACCCTAAATCAGCCTAACCCTCAAGACTCAAGACCCTTGACAGAGGCCTACCACTCGCGGCTTTGCCGATGCGTTGTCCTTCTTGGCCCCTTGGGCTGTTCCTGGGTTTAGGGTTTAGTATATAGGGTTTAGGGTTTTGGGTTTGGGGTTGACAGGGTTCGGGGTTTGAGTTTATAGGTTTGTCGAACGTTTGAGGTTTGAGGCTTATTGGGTGGTACGTCGCAGGTCTTCCGGGTTTGTTTATATGATGTATGGGTTCAAGTTTAGAGATTTAGGTTTCAGGGTTGTGGGTGCACAGGGAGTCCGGGGCACGTGTGGGTTGGTTGGGGCTGGGTCTTGTTTGTGGCTTGGCGTATTTGTTTTGTTCGGATTGCCGGGGTGTCGATGGGAGCTGGTGAGTGGCAAGCTTAGTAGAGTTCATTGTGGTGCAGGGTGGCAACCGAGGCCCCCTTTTGTCGTGGCATACCCTGCACCCCAAACCCTGTAACACAAGAAACGAACATCACTAATACGAAAGAAAATCTTTCTAACAACAGTAAAGATATGAACAAATACAAAAATCATTTGTGTGTTTGTGCATATACACTCTCCCAGAACAAGCCCACTGGTTTTCCTAAGTTCCCTGAAACTCGAAGTCGCCAAGGCCCTGAATCAGCAGACAAACCCCTACAGCCCGAACCTCCAAAACCCTACAGCCGCACTGAAGTCCTAAATCCTAAGCCCCCAACCCTAACATATGCTTTCCGATACCGTCTCTGACTGGTACATCCGTGTGTTCGTCCTTATCGAAGTTACGTGGTCCCCGAATGTGGTCCCGAACCTTCTTCCGCTTTTTTCCTCCCCATGCCGTCTCTGACTGAAGCCTGGGTCCTTAGGGTTTAGGGTTTAGGGTTTAGGCTCATATACTCTCTCCAAGCCATGGGTTCCAGCAGGCCTGGAGTTAGGGGTTCTGTGTGTTTGGAGGTTGCCCGAGGCCCATAAACCCGAAACCCTAAACCCTAAGCCTAGGATGAAGGGGTGTACCTGCCACCCCAAACCCTGCATGTTTGCGAACTGTAGTCCGCGCCATGGCAGCTGAAAACCAACACAAAAGCCCGCGGCCTTGCAGAGTCTAGCTATTCCAGGATGCCCTAAACGCTCACCCTCAACCATAAACTCTAAGCCCTCCCAAAAAACCCAGGTATTTAAGGGGACAGGTTCCCTACTCATCACTCTGATTGGCAAGCTGTCGTCCCGAAATTCGAAACGCCGAAGCCCAAACACTCCTGCTGGGGGAGCCGCCAGCTCAGGTCCAGGGCACGGACGAAGGCTCCGTGAGGCCCGGGACTCAGCCTGAAACCCAGGGTTTTTTTGGGTTCAGGGTTTAGGGTTTAGGGTTTAGGGCTTAGGGTTTAGGGTTCAGGGTTTAGGGTTTAGTGTTCAAGGTTCAGCCATAACCCCTAAGTCGTGTGCCTTGTACTGCCTAGAAGCGCTAACCTGTTTAATTTGGCCTTATGTTGCCAGGCTTGCAAGGGTCGTGCTTTTGTGGTGGCATAGCGGGGGGTGTAGTGGGAGGTCAGAAGAGACTTTGGCACCCCTGTTACATACTTGCGGTTTAGGGTTAAGGGTTTTGCTTTCTAGGAATGTCAAGCATCTACTTTTTGGCAAGGCATCTTGGGATTTCTCTGGGTTTGAAGATGTATGAGGTCTGACACTACGGGCGTGGGTCTGCGAATTTGGTTGGGCCTACCGAGATTTGGTGTTTGGGGGTCAGGGTTCCGGTGCGCGCCTTTAACGCGTCTGTGAGACCCTCAACCCTAAACCCTAAACTTTAAACCCTAAACCCTAAAACTGATAGGTCAAGTGCGTCCCAGCCAGCCAAGAGGCTCCCAGTTGCGATGTATTCGACTTGCGTTAGGCTCCTAAACACCGATATAAAATGCGCCTGAGCCTTATCGCCTTATCGCCGAAAACCCGAACCCTAAGCCCTTCAACACTAAACCCCAAGTCCCTGATCCCAAGCCCTAAACCCTAAACCCTGAGCCCTAAACCCTAAACCCTAAACAAAATCTATGCCTCATGGCCCAAAACCTTCAGCCGAACCCAAATTCCTGATCCCGAAGCCCTACACCTCGAAACCCCCAAACCCGAAAACTCCAAGCTTGAAGCCCGAAACCCTCATCCCAGACCCCGCTGAGGTCTAGGAACCCTAAACCCTCAACCTAAACCGGAAACCCGAAACCCGAAACCCTAGCCCTAAACCCTAAACCCTCCCCACCCCCCCAACCCCACCAAGGTTGGGCTTTCACCTGGCGCGGAGCAGGACTGAGGGACTTGGGATGCACAGCTTGGGGAGTTTTTAGGGTTTAGGGTTTAGGGTTTAGGGTTTAGGTTTAGGGTCTGTGGTTTGGGGTTAGGGTTTAGGGTTTAGGGGCGTTTTTAGGGTTCATGGCCAACCCATATAAGTAGGCCACCAGGGGGTTGGCCATGAAGCTTCGCCCGGCGTAAGGGCCTAGCTGCAGTCTTCTAAACGCTAAACCGCGAAGCCTAAACCCTAAACCCTACACCCTAAACCGCAAACCCCAAACCCTAAACCCTAACCCTACCCCCCAAGAAGCCTAAACCTTCTCGAAGCACTACGACCCTCACGCAGGCCTTGAAATACGGAGTTTAGGGTTAAGGGTTTAGCGTTTAGGACAGCCTAAGCCCGCTCCATGCCCCAATCTGCCCTTCTGCAGAGCCAAACTACGCTTCAACTGCGTCAGGGCGTGCTCCAAGAACTTGAAGACCTGCTTGGAGGCCACCTGAACATAGGATTTTAGGGTTTGGGGTTTAATTCGGGCTAGGGTTTAGGGCTAGGGCCAGGGTTTAGGGGTGGTTTAGTGTTTAGGGTTTAGGGGCTCTGCCCGAACCCTAAGACCTCAACCTTTGACGACATTTTTGGAGTTGAGCGGTTGACGGCTCAGGGTGCAGAGAACAGGAGACGATGTGAGTCTCTCGTCGTCCGTTTCTTGGGGCGTAAGAGTTTGTAGGTTTTAGGGTTTAATTAGGGCCACCCTGGACTGTAAACCCGCTAAACCCCCCTGCCCCTGGAACCCTGAAACCATAGCGGTTAACCTTGAAACCATAGCGGTTAACGAATCTTAATTTACATTCTGAGGTCAGGAAAGCCCTGCAAACCATCGAGTTTAGAGTTAAACTTAAACCCTAAAAGCAACAGGTTATGGTGGTTTTGCCGCCTGAACCCTAAACCCTAAACCCTAAACCCTAAACCCTAAACCCTAAACCCTAAACCCTGGACCCTCAACCCTGGGGTGGGACGGCGCTCCACAATCGGGCCATGGCTGATTGGGTGCATGTCACGAAGATTTTGAGCCTAGTGCGCATCCCAACCTTCACAGCTTCTGCGCCATATTACAGCAAACCCCACGCCCCAAACCCTAAACCCTGAACCCTAAACCCTTAACCCTTAACCCTGAACCCTAAGCCCTAAACCCTAAACCCTAAACCCCAACTCGGTAGGTTCGCGCCCGGGATCACGAAGAACTCCTCCTCGGGCCCGATGAGGACGATGGCGACGTCAGCTTAAACCTGCCACTTTGGCTCTGGTTACTTTGTTTTTGTTGGGCTAGGGTTTAGGGTTTAGGGTTTAGGGTTTAGGGTTTAGGGTTTAGGGTTTAGGGTTTAGGGTTTAGGGTTTAGGGTTTAGGGTTTAGGGTTCAGGGTTCAGGGTTCAGGGTTCAGGGTTTAGGGTTTAGGGTTTAGGGTGTAAGGTTTAGGGTTTAGGGTTTGGAGCTTAATTAACACATGGGGTTTTCGGGCTCTGAAAAAAAAGGGTTTAGGGCCTAGGCTTTTAAACGAGGGTTGAGGGTTTGGGGTTCAGGGCTTAAGGGTAGGGGTTTATAGGGTTATCTAGATTTTCCTGCCAGAGGTGGCTCGGTGCTGCAGGCAGTTTCCCAAGACCCATCCATCTTCAAACGCCCTAAACCCTAAACCCTAAACCCTAAACCCTAAACCCTAAACCCTAGACCCTAAACCCCCTGCACCCTGAGCCTCCTTCGTGGCCGAGGCCGCACCTAATGGAGCGGGATGACGACGTGGCCGACCACCCCCACAAAATGCGGCTTGAGCAGCGGTGTCCGCAATTGTGGTTTGAGGTGTAGGGTTCAGGGTTCAGGGTTCAGGGTTTAGGGTTTAGGGTTTAGGGCTCAGGGTTTTGCGGTTCAAGGTTTAGGGTTTAGGGTTTAGGGTTCAGGCTTTAGGGCTTAGGGTTTAGGGTACATCAAGATTTCTGGGGTGTAGGGCTTCGGGTGTCGGATAGACCCCCAGACTCACAGCCCGAAACCCCCACAGTCGGACAGCTAGCACATGTCCAGACGCCCAAAGTTGATCCAACGGTCGCATCTCCGACCGATTCCTAAAGAGCCACCCTGAACCCCAAACCCCTTAACTTTGGGATGTTCCCCCTTATACTAACCGTCCTTAATAGGGATTATAGTACCCCCTATGAAACTAACAGTCCTTAATAGGGATTATAAAAGGGATTATAGTACCCCCCTATTGTAATCCCTATTGAGGACAGTTAGCATGAGGGGGAACATCCCAACCTAAACCTCTTAGCCCCCTAAACCCTAGACTCCAAAGCATCACAATGGCCCGAAGCCACTCAACTCCCTGCGCCAAAGCCCTAGAAAAAAAACAAGCCAGAACCTAAAAGGGTTTCAGGGTTTAGGGCCTGGGGGAAGGCTTGCCAACTCCACTGCACTTCAGGGAAAAAGCCTAAGCTACACCGTTTTGGTTCAGCTTTGTAGCCCCGTGGTACCCTGAACCCTAAACCCTAAACCCTGTTTTTTTGGGTTCGGGGGTTCCCTCTTAAAGCAACAACCCCCCCCCCCCCCCCCAAAAAAAAAAAAAAAACAAGAGCAAAAGAAAGGGATGTACATTTCCCGGAGGGTCCATTTCTAGTACTGTTATGGAATTGGGTACCCCAAAACCATGCTAAGTAGGATTTTGGGGTACCTAATTCCAGAATAGAACTGGAGATGGACCCTCTGGGTTTTATTGTAACATGGTCACTGGGATAGCAAGTCAGGAACAAGCTGCGCCAGAGTGAGATGGAGTTCCTGAAGCTGGTCAAGGAGTGGAATCCGAAGTGAGAAACCTTAAGGTTCCAAACCTCTAGGGTTTGGGGTTTAGGGTTTGGGGTTGAGGATTTAGGGTTCAGGGTTTAAGGGTCAAAGGGGATTCTAGGGTCTTTAGACCCTACTCCCTAAGCATGCTGGCCTAGAAACATTCTGGGGTTTAGGGTTTGCGGGTTTAGTCGTCTTTTAGGGTTTAGGGTTTAGGGTTTAGGGTTTAGGGTTTAGTGTCTTGGGCCTGGGCGAAGGGAGGGGGGGGGGGTGTAGCTTTGCAGCTTGGGGTTCCGGGTTTAGGGTTTTGGGCGTTGCGAACAAAGCCCTAAACCCTGCAAAGCCCAAACCCTAAACCCTGGACCCCGCATGTGAGGGGCTCCCCTGCCTCCTCCTCCACACCTTGCGAGCCGAAGAGGCGCCTAAACTACAGGAAGTTCAGGGTTTTTTCAGGAAGTTTAAGGTTGAGGGTTTAGGGCTCAGGCGTTTTAGGGCTTAGGAAGTCTCGGACGCTTGGGGTTTTGGCCTTTTTTCGAAGTTTGGGAAGCTTAGGGGCTCTTCGACTCCTGACCTTATTTCGAGTTTTTGACCCTGAGCTCTAAGCCACCAAAGGCTCCGTGAACCCTAAGAACCTTTTCGAGTCAAGCCGAAGCCAAATAGAACTTCAAGCGAGAACCCGGAAGAAGGAGTGGCACGAGGTGAAGTCTGAGGCAGGGCCACCCTGCGTGCCTTGGATGGCTTCATTGGGTTTAGGGTTTAGGGTTTAGGGTTTAGGGTTTGGGGTTTAGGGTTTAGGGTTTAGGGTTTAGGGTCAAGTTATGGGCCGTGTTGTAGGTTTGGGGGAGGGTCTCCGATCTTGCCCTTCGACTCAAATGTGGTTCCTTGTTTTTTTTTTTCTGCGGGTGATTTGGTTTTAGGGTTAACAGGGTCTTGGGATTCCATGTTCCGGTTTGGGGGTTTCGTGATCACTGCGGTGCAGGTTTGTACATAGGGTTTCGGGTTTAGGGCTTGGGGATGTAGGGCTCAGATGTCCAGCTCAGGTTTTAGGCTTCGTAGGGCTCCAACTCCCGAGAGAGCCCCAAATCGTGCAGGTTTGGGGTTTCGGGTTTCGGTTGTAAGGCCAAGTTTTCGCAGGCCCGTGTAAATAGCCATCCCCCAGTCATTTATTTGGCTTTATCATTCCGCTTTTTTTTGTGTTCCTACTACTTGATATTGATATTCTAATCTTCGTAGCTGTCTGCTACTTGTTGCGCACGCGCAATAGACAATTCTCAACATGCTAGTTCTGATTGAAATAGGCTCCTACCACAACCCCTAAACCCTAAACCCTATACATCCTAAACCCTAAATCCTAAACCCTAAGCCCTAAACCCTGAATCACAATGTTCTCTAGGAGGGCTCCTTGCCAAGGTGATCGTCGAATATCCCATGGGCCAGGGCGACACCGACTGGCACGACTGGCAACAGGATGTGCAAGTACGGGAGGAATCCGAATGGAGGCTGGCCACAAACGGCTCAGGGTTTAGGTTTTAGGGATTAGGGTTTAGGGTTTAGGGGAGGGCCCAAGCCCCTAAACCCTGGGCTACAAGACCTACGGAGTTTCGGGTGTCGATATGGGGTGTGGGAAGCGGATGTCGAGAGTCTTGGGTGCTCACTGGGGTGTTTAGGGCCTGTGTGCTTCATTGGCTTTACAGTAGGGTTCTTTAGGGTTGTTGAGGGTTTCCAGGATTCTTAGCGTTTTTTAGGGTTTTCTATTTTCTAGGTGTGTTTTAGTGTTTTTTAGTTTGTTTTTGGTTTTGGGGGTTTCAGGTTTGTTTTTTGGTGGGGGGGGTTCAGAATTTCATGGTCTTGGTGTGTAGGTTTCTAGTTGCTCGTATGGTGTGAGCGGGGTTTCATGTCGAGGCCCTCTTGTGTATGCCTGCACAGGTCTTCTTAAATCCCAGAGCTTGCGGTTGCGAAGCCGTGCCATCGACCCCACACAACCCCCTGATAGCCCAGCCTAAACCCTAAACCCTAAACCCTCTAACCCCCTCAAACATCCTCAGTGCCTACGAGGGCCCTAAACCCTAAACCCTAAATCCTAAACCCTAAGCCCTAAACCCTAAACCCTATGAGCCCGCAAAAACTCCCAGCCATGACAGGTATGTGCACAAGCCACTCGGCTGCAACCCAGGGCCTGCTAAGTCTGAGAGGGCTCCAGGCGCGAAGCACTTAGATTGTTTAGGGTTTAGGGTTTAGGGTTTAGGGTTTAGGGTTTAGGATTTAGGGTTTAGGGTTTAGGGTTTAGGGTTTGGGGTTTAGGTTTAGGGTTTAGGGTTTAGGGCTTACGGGGACAGGAGCTCCTCACGCCACATTAATTGGCCACTTTCTTGCTTGGCTCTTTTGGGAGCATACGTTTCCAACGTGCAGAGAGCGCCGGGCTTGATTGACTTATCCCTATCCCCGTAAAACCCTAACCCTAAACCCTAAACCTAAATCCTAAACCCTAAACCTTAAAGCCCCAGAAGCAAGTTCCTTGAGTAGGGCTCCTTCTCCCAAGTAGGGATCATCAATCCCCTGTACTATGAGAATCCTTGACCCTAAGCCCCACAACCTATGAAATCCGAGACCTTGGGGCCACTACTCTAGGGTTTAGGGCTTAGGGGTTTAGGGTTTAGGGTTTAGGGTTTAGGGTTTAGGGTTTAGGGTTCAGGGTTTAGGGTTTAGGGTTTAGGGTTTAGGGTTTAGGGTTTAGGGCCCACTACAGACCCCCCCACCACCCTCATGCCGACTCCTCATAACCCTCGCATCCTGAAATCAAGCCCCGATCGCCCTAAACCCTGAACCTTAAGACCTAAACCCTTTAGGGTTTAGGGTTTAGGGCTTAGGGCTTAGGGCTTAGGGTTTGGGAACCCCCAAACCCCCAAAACCCTGAAAGCCCCAACCCACGCACACTAAAACATCCCGAGGTTGGTGGAGGGAGTTCCGAGCACGGCGTACGAGGAGTTCAAGAACCTGATCGTCGTGGCTGTGAGGGAAGGCTGCCTGAGGTTAGGGTTTAGGGTTTAGGGTTTAGGGTTTAGGGGTTATGATTTAAGGTTTAAACCCTAGAAACATAATTATGAAATAAACTCAGAAAAATTGACCTAACTATATATATATATATGCATCTATATATATATATGTATATATATATATATACACATACATATGCACACATGTTTTCGCACGCAGATGGACCCGCCCAGCGCTGCGGCGTCCGAGACGGCTTCAGGCTGATGAGCATCGGCGGCACGGCTGCAACAAGGTAGGGTTTAGGGTTTGGGGTTTGGGGTTTGGGGTTTGGGGTTTGGGGTTTGGGGTTTGGGGTTTGGGGTTTAGGCTTGTTTACGCTAACCTCTTTTCAAATTCAGGGCTCTTGGTGGCTGCTGTGAGGTTGTTGTTACTGTGTTCATAGGTATATTTTGTGTATGCATCTGTATGTTGATCTGACATATTTCTGTCGAGTCAGGTTTCCATTGATGGTCCTTCCGGGGTCCATATGATATCAGGGAACCTGAAGGGACAATCATGTAGCACTGGCCATGAGCATTGCACTCTCTCCCTCTCTCTTTATACATATATATATATATATGCTTACAAGATCTGGGTAAGTTCACCCTCCTTGACCATATTCCGTCTGTATGTTTAATTTACTTATATATATATATGCATACATATATGTTTCTAGATTTATTTATTGCTATATATGTAATACCTGCTAGTTGGGATGTTTCCCTTTATATTTTCAGTCCTTCATCGGGATTGTAGTACCCATGATCCCTATTAAGGACTGTTGGTATAAGGGGGAAACCCTAAACATTAAACCCTAAACCCTAAAACCTAAAACCTAAACCCTAAACCCTTAACCCTAAACCCTTAACCCTAAACCCTAAACCCTTAATTAACCCTAAACACTAAACCCTAAACCCTAAACCCTAAACCCTAAACCCTAAACCCTAAACCCTAAACCCTAAACCCTAAACCCTAAACCCTAAACCCTAAACCCTAAACCCTAAACCCTAAACCCTAAACCCAACCTGACAGTACCTTTCGTTAGGCATGCGCATGGCCGGGTGGGTATGGCCGCATCCGCGCCTTGGCGGCTGACATACATAATAACCCTAAACCCTAAACCCTAAACCCAGGGCCTCTAGGGTTTAGGGTGTCGGGTTGAGGGTTTTGGGGAATAGTTACTAATAGTATCCAGTATTTCCTTATGGCCCCTATAGAGTTCTACTATAATATCCCCCAAGACCATAAAATCTAATTATTTCCAGGCACATATGTAAGTTATTCGGGTTTAGAGTTTAGAGTTTAGGGCTTGGGAGACTATTTAGGTCTTAGGGTTTAATCAGGGCTTGGGGAAGCTTTCGGGTTTAGGAGGAGACTTCAGGGTCTAGGGGTTATTTCGGAGTGTTAGGGCGGCCTGGGGCTGCAGCAGAGCCAAGTCTTTCACTTGGCAGCCCAGTGGTACCCTTGTGCCTTTGGTTGTGGTTCTATGTTCCCTTCTAAAGGCAACCAACCCCAAAAAAGTGAACCCAAGTGAGGCCTTATTCGAGTATGGTTCTGGGCTATCAAGTACCACGGAGGAGATGCCAGCGCATGGTCTCAATCGTCATCTGCGACGCTTCCACATCCCAGAGCTTGGCATAAGCTTGAAAACAAACCTGAAACCCTCAACCCTAATTCCTAAACCCTAAATCCTAAACCCCAAACCCTAAACCCAACAAGCCCCAAACTTGTGACTTGCACTCAAGGGTTTAGGGTCCTGAGCTCTGAGGCTCTCTCTCTCTCTCTCTTTTTTCCCGCATCCGCTCTAACCCTAAACCCTAAACCCTAAACCCTAAACCCTAAACCCTAAACCCTACACGCCCCCGGGCCCCTGGCCATGGTAAGGAATTCGGATGATTGGACCCGGTCCATACGCCGGATCCAGACGGTAGCCTTCGAGGTGTGCGGGTTCAGGGCTCCCGAAGTTGTAGGTTTGAGTAAATGTTCATGCTTTATAGGGCTTCGTGGAAATAGGGTTCAGGGTTTAGGGTTCAGGGTTTAGGGTTTAGGGTTTAGGGTTTAGGGTTTAGGTTTTAGGGTTCAGGGTTTAGGGTTTAGGGTTTAGGGTTTAGGGTTTAGGGTTTAGGGTTCAGAGTTTAGGGTTCAGAGTTCGATTAAGGGAGTGCGGTTCCGGGCTTGCGCTGCAGGTCTTCGGGCTACCTGGGGTGATATGGGATGATCCCAGAGTATGGATGCCTTCAGGATCCCTGTCTCCCCGCCCACCGCAGGGTCTAGGGTTTGGGGCTTGGGGTTTAGGGTTTAGGGTTTAGGGGGGTTTAGGGTTTAGGGTTTAGGGTAGACATTGACGGTTACTGGGCGCTCAAGTCTTGCTTCTCAAACGGTGCAAATAGAGCGGGGTGATCTAAATTCTGGGCCGGTTTGGTTGGTGTGTCTCTCCAAAAAGGGGGAAACCTGTAAGAGCTTACAAAACAAGCCCCTATCAGCACCGATCATGCCCCTATACAAGAATAAGAAACCTTTAGTTTAAACTTGCAATGACCCTATGATAACCCTCATCGCTAACCCCGAACCTTAAACCTCAACCGTGGCTGCTGGAGGGCGAAATCGCTTCGCTTTATATACCTTGAATCCAGCTTAAAAAGCAAACCTTAACACCCTAAGCCCAAACCCTAAACCCCAAACCTTAAACCCGAAACCCCAAGCCCCAAACCCTGAACCCTGAACCCCAAAACCCTGAACCCAAGGCCCTGAACCCTAAACCCTAAGCCCCAAGCCCCAAACCCTAAGCCCCAAACCCTAAACCCCAAACCCTAAACCCTAAACCCCAAACCTCAAGCCCTAAACCCCCAAACCCTAAGCCCCAAACCCCTGCAGCCTTGCGCCCCTTCGCCGTCCCCGGGGCTCCTACCGACGCTGACGGCAGCCGCCGGCGGCGAGAAGCGCGGGAAGGAGGAGACGGGGAGCCGCAAGGTTTAGGGTTTAGGGTTTAGGTTTTTTGGGTTTAGGTTTTTGGTTTAGGTTTGAGGGTTTGAGGGTTTAGGGTTTAGGGTTTAGGGTTTACGGTTTAGGGTTTAGGGTTTAGGGTTTAGGGTTTAGGGTTTAGGGTTTAGGGTTTAGGGTTTCAGTTTAGGGCTTTATGTAATTACGGCCATCCAAGCGGGGTCAGCGGCGAGGGCGACGAGAGAAGAAATCGCCAAGCTGCGAGCCCTGACCAAAGCCTTTGAAGAAGTGTCTGATGCGGCAAAGGAGATCCTAACCACGTTGGGGTCGGCAATCGACGAGCTCTTATCCTTTGCGGCAGTTGCCTCTGTCGATTGCGCAATTGGTGGGGCAGACCAAGCCTCTCTCACATCAAAAGGAGCCAAGGCAGAAGTGCCATTCTCGAAAAGCGTGCCGAAACCACTAGGGGACTTTCGGCTCGCAGATATGCGGACCATGATGTCCAATGCGTATGCTCCATCAGGCAGTATCGTCCTGGCGAGTACCATCTTCGCAGGTGTGGAAGAGACAACAGACGACGTCGGTGACACCGCTGGTGTTGGTTCAGTGACAGGGATGGTCGCCAGCTACATGTTCCATGGCCAAAAGCTGCAAGATGTGCTGGCATCCCTCGGAGGCATCTTGGCTCCTGACCCAGGCCAAGTACCGCGGCACCCGAAATTCATCCCCATGTCTAGTGATGTCTTCGCCGCCCTTCGCTGTCCAAAGATAGCAAAGCATGTGGGAGTGGCTATCTTCATCCACCAACTGGAGTGTGAACGCTCAGAGAGTGAGGTAAGTCAGAGTAGCCTGTCGCCAGAGGTGCTGAAGTCAAGGAGCTCGCAGGGGTCAGTCTCGCGTAGTAGATCACCGCTGCCGAGACTCAAAGTCCACAAAGCGGGTAGGGAAGAAGTCAGTGCCATGATTGACAGCAAGCTTGAGGCGATGAAAGAGCATCTTACGCAGCAGTTCATGTCCTTCACCTGTGAGATCAAGAACGATATCTTGCGGTCCGTCCAGGACGCTATTTCGCCAAGGCCCCCATCTTCCCAGTTGATCAAAGATCAGACGGCTCAGCAAGAACTGGCTTCAGACCCAAAGCTTAAGGCTAGTCCGACTCCCGACGGTGCGAGCCTACTCCAGCTTGAGGACTTTAAGACTAACGTTGATTTATCTCGGGCGAAGGTCACGGGCAAGAAAGAACTTGCAGAGACGTTTGCTGCTTGGGGGCAGCGGTTGAAATCCTGCAGGGGAGATCTACGCACCTCACTTGTCATCCTCTTCTCCGGGGTGGGTTCGGTGGACAACCTCCATGCCACGGTTGCTGCTATGGGGGTACGCATCACAGATCAAAGCAGCGGCGCAACCCCCTATGCGCATGTGGCCGGTGATAGAGCTCAGCCAGCCCTGCAAGTGGTTTGGAAACTGCTGCCCGAGCAGAAAATGACCATCCAACTCAATGTGAAGAAAAAACGCAGTTATGGTAAGAGCCAAGCGTGCAGCTGTTGAAGCCAACATTTTGCCTTTGTTGTGTTTCTTTGGCCCCACCCTTGACATCTCCAGTAGTGCTGATGGAAAACCCAAGCCTGCGGGGACTGGGGGCTGTGGTTCCAACTTTAATCCCAAACTGAGCCAGTTCCTTGGATGGAAGCTTTAGAGCTCCTTGGGCCTGACTTTTGTGTGGGAGTGAATCTCTAGGCGATGTGCCCTTGCAGCAACGGAGTATGCTGCTGCTGGCTTATTGCGCTCTTAGTGTATCTATGGACGCGCTTCTTAATTCAGACTCCCGTGGTTTGACCCATGACGGAGTTAGCTCGGCTGGGAGATGCTGGAAATGATTGCCTGTTGTCTCTTCTTTTTCTTGTTGTTGTTGCTGCTGCTGCTGCTGGTGTTGTTGTTGTTGTTGTTGTTGTTGTTGTTGTTGTTGCTGCTGCTGCTGCTGCTGTGTTGTTGCTGCTGCTGCTGCTGCTGCTGCTGTTGGTGCTGCTGCTGCTGCTGCTGCTGTTGTTGTTGTTGTTGTTGTTGTTGTTGTTGTTGTTGTTGTTGTTGTTGTTGTTGTTGTTGTTTTGCCTTGTTGTGGCTTGTTGTGGCTTTTCTTTGGTGTGTGTGTCTGTGCTGTGTGTGTGTGTGCTGTGTGTGTGTGTGCGGTGTGTGTGTGTGTGGGTGTGTGGGTGTGTGTGTGTGAGAGAGAGTGAGAGTGAGTGAGAGGGAGTGTGAGAGAGAGAGTGTGTTTTTTTTGTTGCGCTGGTCCTTGTGCTTTGTGAATGCTTCTCTCGTTTTGCTAACTGGCAGCTGTTCAATTCCGAGTCCAACCATGACTGGGCTCCTTGACTGCGATACTCTCCTGGAATTGTTGAGAGAATGGCAAGGCGGAGACATTGGAAATGCTGAAAGAGCGTCTTTTTTTCGTGACATGGAACTACTGTGGGACATTGCGCCTGCTGTGCCGTCGACCATTGGTCATCAGGGGGCTGAAATAGTCATTGAGCACCATGCTACGCTCAAGGCCTTCCTGAAGCATCAAATTCTGAGCCTCAAACAACGTTTTCAGTCTCAAGTGGTTGCTCGTACTCAGGAGCCATGCCTGCGCGACAGGAAAGGCGGCTTGCTGATGTGACTAAACTTAGGTCCATCAGGGTAGCTACCTTCAACCCTGGTCGCTTGGGTTTTTCTCAGTTGGGAACCGCAGAGCTTTTGCATTGGAGACTTCAGGCAGTGGCGATTGAGTTGAAATCTCGAGCTATCCAGTTTTGCATATTACCTGGTGCGCGCATTCCCCCTGGCGTTCATTTGCCGCCTGATTTCCCCTTTACCTATTATGGTTTGCGAACCTCGTCTTGGGGCTCAGTGGGGGTTTTTGTTGACTGCAACTTTGAAGATTCATTCTCTCCGCTGGATGATTACTGCCAAGATCGAGTCTTCTGGTTTCGCCTCAGTCTTTTTCAAAACAATGGTGGACAGGGTGATAAGTTTCAGCTGATCGTTTGTGGATTCTATCATCGGCCAGGAGGTGACCTTGATACCTGGAAGCAGATGTTGAAGTCTTTTTCCGAGCTAAAGGAGTGCTTCCCACATGCAAAATTCCTGTTCGCTGGTGATTCTAATACTCATTTTTCTTTTTAGTCGACCATCTTCCTGGGTGTACGTGTTGTCATTGCAGACAGTGCTCAGATGATAAGAAGGCTCAAAGATTGCTGGCGGCCTCAGAACTGCATGTGCTCAACACTTTAGTCCCCACTCACGATTCAGGAACTGTCATCGATTTGTTCCTTGCAGAAAGATTTGACCAATATTCCTGCTCTCAAATCACTGTGGAATCCAACCCACTTGCGCAGTCGGATCACCGCTTGGTGTATGTTGATTTGCAGGCAGCGGTGGATGGCAACCATAAGCATGCAATTCCGAAGGTTAGCTGGGGCTCCACAGCCCAGTGGACGCTGAGTCTTGGTCATATAAGTATTTTGTTGGCCTCGCTAGAGGCGGGAATTCAGGAGCTCCTTGGTCATGATGAGTGGCGTCCGCCACAGTGTGGAGGATCAACAGGAAAGAAACTTCGCAGACTTGTGTTGGACCTTTGTGCCTGGAACCGTGATTTCATCTATGTTTTTACAGGGCACACCATGAAAGTGGTGACCTTTTCCAGGGGTGAGAGGAAGCGCAAGCGTGAATCCAAGTTCGATGGTGCCTATTTCTCTCAACCTCTTGAGTTCCCCCGCGTTGTGTCTTCTGCGAATTTCAAAGCCAAGCAATCAGCTGTTGCTCATTATGCGAACTTATTGCAGACGGACAGAGGTGAAGCGGCGAAATTCCTGTCGTCGGTATTCAAACCAAAGCATTCTTTTCGTATTCAGTTGAAAGATGAAGAAGGCGCCCCGCTGGACGCCCCTGGAATGATCACAGCATTGGTTGATGACCTATTTGATAGAGCGTGCAACGATTTCCCACAAGATGCAAGCTTCAAACATGATCTGGCTTTGCGTTTATCATCTTTCCGAAGCAGAGTTTTTGCATCGGACTCTTCGTCGTTATATTCCGAGAATGAATTGCTTCAGGTGCTGAACAAGCTGGAATCCAGTAAAAAGTGTATTCGAGGCTGTTTTGCTGCCCTCAAAGCCCCAGTGCCTGTTGCGCAGAGACTTACTCTGACGCTTATGAACCTGGGTAGGCAATTTGGCCTTACCTCCAGCCTGTGGGCTCTAAGGGAGTTTAGACCACTGCACAAGAAAGGCCCCCTGGTGGTTTCAAAAGTTTGCAACCTTCGCCCTATTTCGTTATGTTGTGACTTGGCGCACATTCAAGACGGTTTATGGATGATGAGGAACAAGTGGAAGCTCATAGAATTTGCTGGGCCTGCGCAATCAGGGGGTGTTTTAGACCCCATCAGCTCCATTATTGGCTTGGTCTTGCTTACTCAAATCCGCAGTGCCCAAAGTCTTCCAACTTTCTGGGCCATCCTGGATTTGAAGTGGGCCTTTGACACTGCCATCTTACCAGGTATGAAAGTTGCAGTCGGAGATGCTGGTGTGCATCCTCTGGATTGGCTGCTATTAGATGATATTATGGACCAAGATGTTCAGTGTCTGTCCTTGCATGGCTTTTTATCTAAGGTCTTTAAGTTGGGTTGTGGCACGGCGCAGGGGAGAAAATTTTCGGTGGGGGTATTTACTGCTCTCCTTCGGTGGCTTCATGATGAGATTGACCTCGTCGAACCAGGGGGGACTCGGGCTTGGTTGCCCGCGTATGTCCAAGACTTGCTGTTTTTTGCTGATTTGTGGTCACCCGTGCGGGAAGAGACACATTTACCGCCCCGGCTAAATTTGGTACAAGATGTCAGTACTTTTATTCATGAACTATTACCAGATGAGCTTAACATTCAACGAGACGCTTTTTTCATGGCAGTATCGTCTCTGTGCAGCCTTACCAGGGATTCGGAAAGGCGCCTGGCTGGATCTGCTGGGGAAAGCTGGCTTAGTGGCCGCGCAACATGTTGATGATACGACAGTCCCTTGCACATCAATTGGTCATGTCCGTGCGGTCGTGGCAGCAAATGAGGCCTCAGCGTGCGCCTCTTATGCGACTAAAACCAAGTCAGCCTTTCACTACGGTAGTGGCAAGTGTGCAGTTCTCTGCTTTCAGCCAGCCCCGCACAAACCAACTATGGAGGAATGCGGTTGTGAAGTTGTCTCTTCCAAAAGGCTTCTGGGGATTTTGGTGGATGAAGATCTCTCATTTGAGCCTTGCTTGAATGAAGCCCTGGCAAGGGGCTGGAGCTCGTTTGTGCAGATGTTCAATGCCGCAGAATCTGCAGGATTTTCCGTAGCTATTCTGACTGCTGAAATCTGCCGCAGACTAGTTCCGGAAATCTTATTTGCGGCGCCGCTGCTGGTGACAGCGCCGGGCGTTGAACATAAGCTGAATAGGCTGCAGTGGCGCTGGGGGCGCTCTTTGCTTGGGGCTCCTAGGGATTTCGCCTTCCCTTGGGCTCTTGTTTTTGCCCAAAGTGGCTGGATTCTGAGATTGGGTTCAGTTGTAATTGAGGAAGCGGCCGTTGCGCTTGCTAAACTGTTCCTCCTCCCGCACAATCATCCAGGGGGCAAGTGTGTGAGAATGGCACTTGAGTGTGACTTCCCAACGTGGCTACGGCGAGTACGCCATGTATTGAACGATCCGAAGCTGCCTCAGCCTATTCCAATGATTTATGAACAGGAGCAAGTTGAGGTGTATGTCCTGGAAGCAGCGAGGAGTGATGCCAAGATTCGGAAGGACCTCCTGCGTCAGTACCGAATGCAGGTGGTTAGGCCTATCTTGAGGCAATATGACGACTCGGCAGGCTGCGAAGCGAGGTCTAAGTTGCTTCCAGGCTTTTCGTTTTGCTTTCAGGATTTGTGCAGGGAGGGCTCTTCGAGTTTTTCTTCTGAATTTAATCTCTGGTCTGGCACGGACGCTTGGCTATGGTATCGCTGCTGGGCGGTGGTTCGCATTACCGGTGCTTGGCCAGTTTGCCTGTTTGAAGGGACGGGCTTGCCAGTGACTCTGATTTTGTGCCCGGGTTGTGGCCAAACGCATGTTCCTGTGCTACATGCTCTGGCTGAATGTCCCATCACACATTGCATCCGACAAGATGCTGCCGCTGCAGGTGGATTTCCGGACACTAGCGCGGGTCAGTCTTTCTTGAAGTTCTTGCTCACAGACCACTCAGACAATCAGATCACCTTTGCTTGCCAGAAAGCAGTGGGTAGCTGTTTTCAGCTACTTCTGGGAGGCAGTGAATTCCAGAACAAAAAAAAGGGGTTTTGCTGCATGAAAGACATACATGAGGTTGCGCCCCGTTGCGCGTTTAAGTTGTCGAGCCTTGGGAATCTTTGGGTTTTTCCTGGCCTTTGCACGATGAGAAGTGAAAGACCTGTCTCATGACGTGCGGGGGCCTCGTGAGAAGTCCGTACAGTTCGGGGCGTTGCGCCGAACTAGGACGTTCTCGCGCCCATGCAGCAATTCTGTCTGCTGCAGGGACTTCTTTGTCCATCAATCAATCAATATGGGGATGACGTAGGTGAGGTTTAGTGTTTCGGGGTTCGGGTTTTCGGGTTTCGGATTTGGGGTTTGAGGGTTTCAGGGTTTTCGACTTAGGGTTGAGGGTTGAGGGTCTCGGTTTTGGGGGTCTCGGGATTTGGGTCTGTGGGTTAGACTTCCGGGTTACGAGGATTTGCTCCTGGAACCTTCGCAAAGTATGTCGAATTCCGTGTAAGTTTGCCTAGGACCCAGAGTAGGCCCTTGCCCTTTGTTGAGTGTTTGGGTTCCGTCATAGTTACCTCTCTAAACTGCCCGTTCATTCCTAGGCTACTTTTGGTATCGATGACTACCCTAAACCCTAAACCCTAAACCCTAAACCCTAAACCTTAAACCCTAAACCCTAAACCCTAAACCCTAAACCCTAAACCCTAAACCCTAAACCCTAAACCCTAAACCCTAAACCCTAAACCGTTTCCTTCTTTGGCTCCTAGTTTAGCTCAAGTCTGGCGAAATATTTCAGGGTCTTCAGGAGGCCTTTATGGCTCCGAAAATGTTGAGGGTTTAGGGTTAAGGGTTCAGGGTTTAGGGTTTAGGGTTTAGGATTTTTAGGGTTTAGGGTTTAGGGTTTAGGACTTGGTTCAGAGCTTTCGTTTTATGCCAGGACTTTGCGGCCTTTGCCGAAACACTCCGCCGCTTCGGCGATGGCAAGGCGCCTCGGCTCCTGTGAGATTTCGGGATGAAACCCTGCCTGAACCCTAAACCCTAAACCCTAAACCCTAAACCCTGAGTTGCTTCTGCTTCTTGCCTTGCTTGTAAGGTGGATCCGAAGTTGCTGACGCACTTTCAAGCAACGCTTCCTTGCCAAGGTTGTACCTTTGAGTTTTGGGTTTAGGGTTTAGGGCCTAGGGTTTTGGGGCACCTTTTTGCAAGAACCCCTTAGAAAATGTAGGTTTAGGGGTTTATGGTGTAGGGGGTTCGGGATGAGGCGAGGTAGGATCCCTTGACTTCCCGGCACCCATCTGAGCAACAGTCGATTCCGCACAGATGCAAACCCTAAACCCTAAACCCTTTACTTGCCATCATCCCTTGATAAAAAGCCGTGGACATTTAATTTGTTAAAGAGACCCTCGAAATCTGCCCCCCGGGAAGCCCAGGAGCACCCCAACCAAGAGCGCATCATGTGGGAGGCGGACTTAGGGTTTAGGGGGTTTAGGGGGTTTAGGGTTTAGGGTTTAGGGTTTAGGGTTAGGGTTGAGGGTGACTGAACATCAGTGCCCCTAAGCCCTTCGAAAACTATAGGCCCCAAACCCTAAACCGCTTGCCCCCCCAAGCCTGGAGGCATGAACCCTACACCCTAAACAATACACCCTAAACCCTAGATCCTAAACCCTAAGGTTGGAACCATGGGTCTTGAGTGTAGCTCCTTACCCTTGTTTATAGGGATCTGAAGTCTGGGCCCTGGTTATAGAAATATATATATATATACATATGTATAGATAGATAGATAGATAGGTTGTAATGTAAGGGCTTTTTATCAGGGGAAACAATCAAGGGCCACAAATTCGGATCCTTAAACCCAGCAGAAGGTCCTAGAAAGAAGGATTGCGCTTCAGGCTATCCGAGCTCAGGGGTTCCGCGGACTTATCCAAACAGGCAGGGTAAACCGAAACCCCAAACTCCAAACCGCAAACCCTAAACCCTAAACCCAAATGCGCCCTCAGCCCTCCTTCAGCCTACGCCTGACTAGGCCTTGCAGAGGCTTCGCGGAGCCCCAAGTCTGCAACCCCAAGCCCCAAGCCCTAAGCCAAAAGCCCTGACCTTAAAACCCTAAGCCCGAACCCCAAGCCCCAAACCCCAAACCCTAAGCCCCAAGCCCTCCAAGCCCCCAAGCCCTAAGCCCCAACAACGCAAACCCTAAGACCCACACCCCAACACCCCAACACCCCAAACCCCAAACCCTAAACCCTAAACCCTAAACCCCAAACCCCAAACCCCAAACCACAAACCCCAAACCCCAAACCCCAAACCACAAACCCCAAACCCCAAACCCTAAACCCCAAACCCTAAACCCTAAACCCCAAACCCAAAACCACAAACCCCAAACCCCAAACCCTAAACCCCAAACCCCAAACCCTTAACCCTAAACCCTAAACCCTAAACCCCAAACCCCAAACCCCAAACCCCAAACCCTAAACCATAAACCCTAAACCCTAAACCCTGTCTCTTCTGGGAAGCCAGGGGGTCACGGCCATGATCTGTCGCACCAGCGACCGCGCAACCCGCGAGCAGGCATGGACCTAGGGTTTAGGGTTTAGGGTTTAGGGTTTAGGGTTTGGGGTTTGGGGTTTAGGGTTTGGGGTTTGGGGTTTAGGGTTTAGGGTTTAGGGTTTGGGGTTTAGGGTTTAGGGTTTAGGGTTTGGGGTTTAGGGTGTGGGGTCTATGGTTTAGGTGTAGGGTTTGGGGTTTAGGGTTTAGGGTTTGGGGTTTGGGGTTTGGGGTTTAGGGTTTAGGGTTTAGGGTTTGGGGTTTGGGGTTTGGGGTTTGGGGTTTGGGGTTTGGGGTTTAGGGTTTGGGGTTTAGGGTTTAGGGTTTGGGGTTTAGGGTTTTGGGTTTGGGGTTTAGGGTTTGGGATTACGGTTTAGGGTTTGGGGTTTTAGGGTTTAGGGTTTTGGGTTTTTGGGCCTGGAGCGAAACCAACAGAGTCTCGGGGTGCAGGGTTTGGGGTTTTGGGGTTTATGGTTTTGGTTTTTGGGGTTTAGGGTTTGGGGTTTAGGGCTACGAGGTTTGTAGGGTTTGGGGTTTAGGATTCAGGGTTTGGGGTTTTAGGGTTCAGGGTTTAGGGTTCGGGGTTTGGTGTTTAAGGTTTAGGGTTTATGGTTTAGGGCCAGGGAGTTTAGTGTTTGGGGTTTAGGGTTTTGGTTTTGGGGTTTTGGGGTTTTTCGGTTTTAGGTTTCAGGGTTTAGGGTTTGGGGTTTTAGGGTTCAGGGTTTGGTGTTTGGGGTTTAGGGTTTAAGGGTCTCGGGTCTTAGGGTTTTGGGTGGTGCAGGGTTTATAGGGTTTAGGGCTTAGGGCACAACATAGCCTACCGGCTCCTGGGGTGTCGCTGTTCTTGTTTTTGGGTATGGTAAACCTATGCTATACCAGTTTAGATCCCAAAGTTCTCAACTACCTTTTTGTTGTGGGGAGGGGAAGCCAACCTAAAGCTGAACCCCCTGCCTGGTCTTTGGGTCTGAGGGACTAAGGGTCTAGGGCTGAATTAGGGTTTAGGGGGTTGGTTTAGGGTTTAGGGTTTAGGGTTTAGGGTTTAGGGTTTAGGGTTTAGGGTTTAGGGTTTAGGGTTTAGGGTTTAGGGTTTAGGGTTTAGGGTTTAGGGGGTTTTGGGGGGTTTACAGGGTCTAAGGGTCGAGGTGCGTAGGTTTTCGGGAGCAGGTGCACTTGGCCCTGCAGCTGGCTGGCCACCTGCCCCCTCTCGCCGAGGGTGCTGCGGACAGCCAGACTCCCTGGATCCCAGATTCCTTTTGGTTTGGGGTTCAGGGTTTAGGGTTTAGGGTTTAGGTTTTAGGGTTTAGGTTTTAGGGTTTAGGGTTTAGGGTTTAGGGCTAGGGTTTGAACGCTCTCAGATTTGTCTGGAATTCTCCGTGGTGGTATAGTCTTCCAGAGTGAAGGTGGACCTTCCTGGGCAGCAGTAAAGTAGTGAGGCGTGTCCCCTTCAAAGGGACCCGAAACTAAACCCTGAACCCTAAACCCTACAACTCACAGGCGCCGTGCCCCAGCCCTGCACACACTTCACCTCCACTTGTAATCCGTTCCACGGTAACCTTGGACTTTTGGTTTAACGGGATTTATGGGTGGGAACCTGGAGCCAATCACCATGATGACCAAGTACGAATCTGAATGCTACGAGTTAGAAAAATCGCAAGAGCAGCCTACGTCTCCCCTAAACCCTAAACCCTAAACCGTAAACCCTAAACTCTAAACCCTAAACCCTTAACCCTAAACCCTAAACCTGCACCGGAAGTCCTACCCTCAGGGCCTTAAACGCGACGTGAGGCTTCGCATGTTCTGCGGCGTAGGCTCAAGTCCAGGCCGCAGTGGCCCTAAACCCCTCAACCCTAAACCCTTAACCGTAAAACCTAAACCCACATGATCAACCCATCCCAAAACGCTGCCTGGAACTCTCTTTACCCAGAGCCTTGTGGTTTCTTACCTCGTGAATTCGTAGCAAATTCGTAGGTATAGCCGGTTTTCCCCGAAAAAACTTTGGGTAAATAGAGTCCCAAGTAGCCCCTAACGAACCTGGAGCATGGCTCATCTGCTTTGGCTTGGTCAGGGCCTTAAGGATTTAGGGAACGATGTGCCCCGCATAGTATCATTCTATAGCAACATTAGAAACGTCCTCTTGGGTTTAGGGTTTAGGGTTTAGGGTTTAGGGTTTAGGGTTTAGGGTTTAGGGTTTAGGGTTTCCGGCTGTTTCTAACCCCGGGGGAACATCCCGCAGAGATTCAGGGTCTACCATGCTCTCCCAAACCCCAAACCCCGAACCCCAAACCCTTGCGTTGAGAAGCTCCGAAAACCCTGAACCCGAAACCCTAAAACCCCGAATCCCTAAACCCTAAACCCTCAACCCTAAACCCCAAACCGAATCTAGGGATGAGGCCTTCAGAAAGGCGAGTGGTGCTCATGGCCTCGAGTCTAGGCATGGTGTCCAGGATCCCACGGTAGTACTCTTTTCGTTTCTTTGTGTTAGAATACATTAGGGTTAGGGTTTCGGGTCTAGGGTTTAGGGTTTTGGGTATGGGGGCTTCCGAATTAGGGGTGCTTTATTGGGGTCCCTGCTACAACGGGATCCTGCTATTTGGGGGGGGGGGGGGGGGCATATTTTCATAAACCCCCATTATAGACATACTGAAATAAGAATCTAACGTACAGTATACAACAGAAGGGTAGGTTCCATCACAAGCCCGTTAAGCCACGGCAAAAGGCTTCCGACTTTCGACATCCCTCGCCCTTGCCTACCTTTCTTTTGTAGCTGAGGTGTATCGTGGGATGCCCCTTACACTGACAGTCCTTGATCGGGATTATAGTACCCCCCCCCCCCCCCCAATTTTCATCCCTATCAAGGACTGTTAGTATAAGCGGGAACATCCCAAACCCTAAACCCTAACCCCTAAACCCTAAACTTTTGAGGTGTACTTCAGCTCCAGTTTCATTGCCCCGCCTGCTGCGTGGCGGCCAGAAGATCTCCACCTTCCAGTTCCTGCCCCCCGGGTTTGGAGCACCATGCTTTAACACTTTTTTCTATTAAATACCTGTACCTTAAAGGAGCCTTTTATGAAGTATGAGTCTATGCTTTTTGGTACCTGAAAGGAACCATGCTGAAATAGATAGAAGTCTATACTTTTTTTCTCCCTGGTTCGCCCTAAACCCTAAACTTGGGTTCGGCCGGTCCACACTAACAGTCAAATAACGCCGTGGCCTTATAACACACAGGCCAAAAATAGCACCAGGAATCCCAGTCAATTTTAGCATTTACCGGGTGCTTCTTTTTGTGGGTCTGCTGGTGGTGACTGTTAGTCACATAGCAGCAGAAATAGCACCAGAAATTGCACAAACAATAGCACAAAAAATAGCACCAGAGATAGCGCCAGGAATAGCACAAAAAATAGCACCAGAAATAGCACAAACAATAGCACCAGAAATAGCACCAGGAATCCCAGTCAATTTTAGCAGCTTAGCATTTACCGGGTGCTGTTTTTTGTGGGTCTGCTGATGGTGATTGTTAGTCACATAGCACCAGCAACAGCACCAGAAATAGCACAAACAATAGCACAAAAAATAGCACAAAAAATAGCACCAGAAACAGCACAAACAATAGCACAAAAAATAGCACCAGAAATAGCACCAGGAATAGCACAAAAAAATGCACCAGAAATAGCACCAGAAATAGCACCAGGAATAGCACCAGGAATAGCAGGAATCTCAGTCAATTTTTTGGCATTTACCGGGTGCTTTTATTTGTGGGTCTGCTGGTGGTGACTGTTAGTGTGGACCGGCCGAACCCAACCCTAAACCCTAAACCCTAAACCCTAAACCCTAAACCCTAAACCCTAAACTTCTTTCTGTTCCTTTCAAAGTCCAGGCCCAGCGCGGCTCGGTGTTTCTCCTGGGCCCATCGCATTTTCTTCCCCGCCACCTAGAGGAGGCGAAGATGGAGTATGAGGTGCTTAGATGGGTTGGGTTAGGGTTGAGGGTTGAGGGTTGAGAGTTGAGGGTTGAGGGTTTAGGGTTTAGGGCCCTCTATATCCCCCCCCTCACCCCTAGGTGCCCCCCTGAACGAACCCTAATTCGGCTTTTCATTATCCCCAAATGGCCTTAGAAGTATGAGGGGGGAACTTAGCGTGTGGTAGTATAGAGGGCCCGAAACCCTAAACCCTAAACCCTAAACCCCAGAGGGGGGTAGCAAGGGGAACCATTGAGGTCCTGGGCCCCCATCTCCGCAAGCTGCAGGGAGTTGATTCTTAGTAGCTGGATGAGTACTCTTTAATTTTTATTGGGATACTAGAATCCTCTTTTGAACTGAAAAGTTTGAAGATGTGCACTTTACTCTGTTGGGATACTAGAATCCCCTATAGAACTGAAAGTCTGAAGGTGTACACTTTTTGGGGGGCTTGTGAACTCAGCAGCTAAGGATTGCATGGCTTTGGAGGCCCTTCCGGTATTCCACCGGTCGACGCTGGACCTCTTGCAGGAGGCCTGCAGCGCTTACAGTCACACTGTGCCGAGGCCCCAGAGTACAGGTGCTTATTTCCCTTTTTTTGTTTTAGGGGGTTTAGGTTCCCTTATTCTGTTTTGTTTTAAGATTTAGGTTCCCTTCAGAAGCTCCTTTGAAGCAAAAAGGGGCACCCTTTTTTTCTAGGTAACGATTGGGTCGAGGTGCTCATGGTTCCCAACTGGTACTTCGGGAACCGCTACGTGGATTCTTTGACGCCGGGCGACCTTTTCCTTGACTTGCCCCCAAGCGCCTACAACGTCATCAGGGCGACTTAGGGATATTTGGGAAAATTTCGATTTGTTTGGGTACCGTAATTCATTTTTTGCTAGGGTTCCAAGTTGTAGTTTTTGGGCACTTTCATTCCTAGGACACAGCAGGGATTATCATTTTTGGTTCCCAGTTCTGCATAGGAGAAGGTGAACAAGGAAGACAACGAGGTGATGGTGAGTCACGGCCTCTCCTGCTTGGCACACCTCACCTCACGATTCCAAAACTTGAAGTTCCTCTTCTGGTGCATTGCGCGGCGGACGCTGATTCCGAATCGCACCTCGAGCGTTCCCCTGGAAGGTCAGTATCTCCAAGTTGCGTCGCGCTTCCGCAATAACACGCTGGATGTCCTGCAGTACAGCGACCCCGCCACCTTCACGAGGCGCCACATGAAAGACAACAACGGCCATCCCAAGCGTCAAGGCTATGACTTGATCTTTCGACTTATTGATGGCATGATGCGCAAAAAGGGTCTGCTCATCAGGGTTTATCAGGGTTTAGGGTTTAGGGTTTAGGCTCCAGGTCTTCGTGCGAGAGAAAGATGACACGTGGTATGTGCACATGCTACGCACGATGAGCTCCTGTGTCGTTGCTGGTTGAGGGTTTAGGTTTAGGGTTTAGGGGGATTGGTGGTTTAGGGCTCGGTGCTAGTGAAGGCCCTGTTCGCTCTCCAAGCATGTGTTGCACTAAATGTGGCTGAAGCGCAATGTCGTGCAGCATCTTTGCATGCTGCAGCTCAGGGTTTAGGGTTTAGGGTTTAGGGTTTTGGGTTGAGGGTTTAAGGTTTAGGTCTTCAGGGTTTGGGTGAAGTGTAGCCGTAGCCCAATGTACCACACCAGGCCAAAGTGTATTTCATCATCCTAACGGCAGTTGTTGCTTGCAGCCCTCCTGCTAAAACATGGTCCTATTTGCACACCTGCCCATCGTTGCTTTTCTGCTCCCACATGTTGGTGCGTTTTGTAGTGTGTTTTCATTTTTGTGTGTGTGTGTGTGCTCACTATGTTGGCTCGTATGCTTGTATAGTATGCAAGAACAACTTAGGCACCCTCCCCCACCAAAAAAGACACACACACACACACACACTCTACCATTGAGGGTCGATGTCGTAAGCCCGGGCACAAGCTGGAAAAACCGTTAAACACCTACCCTGGAACCCGGGAAAGACCCTAACCACCCTGTTAACAAAGACAACAAACTGAAAGAACAGTTAAAGCGCACTTAAACCCCTAGAACATTGACAACCTTGGAGAACCCTCAACTTTTCACCCCAGCGTCTGAGGTCTCTTCGACGCACTCCTGGATGCGGAGCACGAGCCTGTCGGCAGAACATTTTTTTTGACGTCTCTGGGCGCACCCTAAACCTCCCTAGAACCTCAACCTTACAAGGAGGGGCCCCCCTGGTTATAGGTAGAGTTTTAAGGACCCTAAACTAGGTTATAAGGATCCTAAATGAGGTTATAAGTCCCTTAACTATATTTGGTATAGTAAGGGGGCCCCTCCTTGTAGGCCCCTGAGGCGTTGCGCAGTTTGGGGGCTTCAGGGGCTCAGGATTTTGTTTTGGGTAGGGTCTAGCGATTTGGGGATTAGGGTGGGGGGGGGTTCAAGTCAGGGGTTCTGGCTTCAGGGGCTTTGGGGCTTTTGCGAGGGGTCTTTGGGTGTGTGAGGGGCTTCGAGTTTTTCGGTTTGGGGTTTGAGTCGGCGGGATGCCAAAGGGTTGCTTCGAATTATGCGCTTTACAGGCTTGTCTGTCTTTTGGCGTTCGGCTTAAGATTGTTTTTAAGGGTTTAGGGTTTGAGGTTGCGGGTTTTAGGGTTTCAGGTTTAGGGTGTAGGGTTCAGGGTTTGCCGCTTAGCCGCTTAAGGTTTAGGGTAGAGGGTTTGGGGTTGATTGGCTTTACAGGGCTTGGTTGGGGCTTGAGGGTTTAGTTGACAGGCTTTTTCACATAGGGTCTTTTTGCAAGTAAGGGATTTGACCGTGGATACCCTAAACCCCAAAGCCTAAACCCTAAACCCCTCAACCCCTCAACCCTAAACCCTCAACCCCTGAACCCTAAACCCTATAAGACCGATAGTGAAAGGGTTCAGGGAGTCTTTTGGGGCTTTGGGGCCTCAAAGCTTTGGGGAGTTGGGGCTTGTGGTTTAGGGTTTAGGGTTTAGGGTTTAGGGTTTAGGGTAGTTTTGGGCTTAGCACAGCTTCTTCCTGCAACTCTTTGGTCTGCACTTTTTTTTCACCAAGGTGCAGATGAACCCGGAAGCCCTAACGCCCCCCAACCCGCACACACCCTAAACCCAAAAACCCTGAAACGAATGATATCAGTAACAACTGCACTTCGGGCCGTCCCATGCTCATGACCCTATGCCCTAGACCATGAACCTTAAACCCCACAACCCTAACCCCCAACCCTACACCCTAAACCCCCAGGCCCGCAAACCCCTAAATTCCTGACCCTAAACTTGACAAGTCACTCACGTCGGTGGACGTTGGAACCCACTCTTCACCTGCAGTCCTTGAATGGCCGCCAAAGTCCCATGGCATCTGCTGCCCTCCGTGGCCACATGGATCCAGGGGTTTAGGGTTTAGGGTTTAGGGTTTAGGGTTTAGGGTTTAGGGTTTAGGGCGCAGCGGAGGCCTTCGTAAAATCCTTGGCGGGCCGCAAGGAGCATCAGCCGGTGAAGGCCAAAGCACCGGCCCAGAGCTCACACCTCAAGCCCCTAAACACTAAAACCCCAAGCCCGTATAGCCCCAAACCTAAACCCTAAACCCTAAACCCTAAACCCCAAACCCTAAACCCCTAAACCCCTAAACCCCTGTAAACCCAAAAACCGATCTCAGGGTTCCGCCTCCGCCCGAGCCGGCGTCCCCCTCACTGCGGAGCGCCTCTCAGTCCCTGCCCCTTGGAAGATTCCGCAATCAGGTTCCAGTGTTTACGGGTTTAGGGGTTCAGGGGTTCAGGGAGTTTAGGGGTGTAGGGGGTTTAGGGGTGTTTAGGGGTTCAGGGGGTTTAGGGGTTTTGGGCTTTTAGGTTTAGGGGGTGTAGGGGGTTAGGGTCCAGATTAGGGTTTCGGGGCGTAGGGATTTAGGGGTTTAGGGGTGTAGGGGGTTAGGGATTTGGGGTTAGGTATTTAGGGTTTCAGGGTTTAGGGTTTCGGGGTGCAGGGGTTTGGAGGTGTATAGGGGTGTTTAGGGGTGGGGGGGTTTAGGGGCTTTTGGGTTTAGGGGTTCAAGGGTAGTTCTTGCAGTTCTCCTCCAGCCTTCCTCATGGGGCCGTGGGGGTGAGCCCTGAAGCCTAAACCCTATAGCCCTAAACCCGAAACAACCCGAAACCCCTAAACCCCATGTATGAGCCTAAGCCCTAAACCCCTAAACCCTAAGCCCAAACCCTACAAAACCCTAAGCCCTGAGCCCGAAAGGGTGTGGGATCTAGGGTGCTCCGGGCCTTCCTCATAGAGTTCTCGGGTTTAGGGTTTCGGCCTCTTCGGGTTTAGGGTTTGAAGGCTAAACCCTACACCTTCAAGCCCGCAATCATGAAGGGCGTCTGCGTGTTTTCAACCTTCGGGTTTAGCGCTTCGGGCTTACGGCTTTGGAGGCTATGGTTCTTTCGGGGCTCTGGACTGGGTTGTGCTTTGGGATATCTTTAAATTCCCCTCTTTCCTTATAAGGGAACCTACTCAGAAATAATTATTGAAAGGGCTTAACATACAACCCAGTAGAGAGCTAGGTCTTGCGGGCCTAGGCCTTGAAGATTGCCCAAATTGGGGCTTAGGGTTACAGGGCTTTGACTTCGGAGTTGGTTTTGTAGTTTTGGGGTTTAGGATGACATTTCCCGTTTGCCTGGGAACCTCGGCTTCCGTTAAAGGGCGATGCAAGAGACGTCTGGGTCCGAACTTCTTGTAGCTAAACCCTAAACCCTAAACCCTAAACCCTAAACCCTAAACCCTAAACCCTAAACCCTCAGTTTGCTCCCAGCGAACAGTGGCGGAATGAGTGGTGCGACGGACGCCGGTGGGGATGGATCGAGGTGCAGTTCCCTCGCGGCGGCCACCCTGGAGGGCGTGGAGTGCAGTCATCAACGAGAAAGGGGTGGATTCCGAGGAATGTTGGCTCGGTTCAGCACCGCCCATGTGAGATGCGAACGAAGAGGAAAGCCACAGCGCCGTTGGCGAAACTTATTTGGATGCCCTAAGCCCGGACCCTGAACCCAACAGTTTTTCCCCCCAAGGCAGGCTTCACACCTTAACCCCCGAACCCTATAAACCCTAAACCCTAAACCCACATGCACTTCCACCCTAAACCCTATGACCCCTACACCCCAGTGCCCTACATCGGAAAGGCCCAAAGATACAAGGACCTCGTGTCTCTTAGTCATGTTAGCTAGTGGGGTTTAGGGTTAAGGGTTTAAGGTAAGCTTCAGGGTTTAGGGTTTAGGGTTTAGGGTTTAGGGTTTAGGGTTTAGGCTTTGTAGTGGGGTTATAAATCAAGTCGGGATGCGTTGCAAGAGGCCTTAATCCTAAACCCCGAAACCCTCATCCCTAAACCCCAAACTCTTAAACCCTAACCCTAAACCCCAAACTCTTAAACCCGAACCCTAAACCCCAAACTCTTAAACCCTAACCCGAGAGTCGTTTCGGGAGTTGGGTTTAGGGTTTAGGGTTTAGGGTTTAGGGTTTAGGGTTTAGGGTTTAGGGTTTAGGGTTTAGGGTTTAGGGTTAGGGTTTAGGGTGTAGAGGACTTCAGCTCTTTCATCCCAACCTTGCGTAAGGTTGCAGAAGCCTATCACGCCCGTTTTGAACCCTATCAAGTCCTGTCGGCCCTGTAGCATGCGCCCTGTCCACTCTTGAATCCGGCTACGCCTCACCAAAATCCTCAAACCCTAAACCCAAACCCCAAGTCTTTGTTAAGGGGAGGGGTGTCTGAGTTGGAATGTTCTTATAATCCCTAGGCCCGATTATTAAGGCCTGTTAGTATAAGGGGAACATCCCGGTGTATGAGGCTTAATCTGGGTACACCTCTTGTGGGCCGAGGTTGCAAAGCAACCATCTGGGCAGATGGCTCAGGTGTCGGTTGTGAAAGGTTCCAATCTGACTCGACCTTAGGGCTCACAGTTTAGGGTTTAGGGCTAGGGTTTAGGGTTCAGGGTTTAGGGCTTCTTGTCTCACGAGATAAACACCTTAGGCCCAAGCTTCACAGGCCCTCGACCCTAGACACGCGGATCCCTGCCTGGAGTCACGAAACCCACGTTTTAGGGTTCAGGGTTCAGGGTGTAGGGTTTAGGGCTTAGGGCCCTAAATCCCAAACCCAGAACCCTGAGACCCTTAGGTTCAGTGCTGGCTCTACGTATGGAATGAGGGGATGAGGTACTATACTAGGGCCCCGGAGTAGGCCCGCTGTTCCTTTTTTTAGGGTTGGGGGTTCCCTTAGAGTTCGCTGAACACCAATAAGGGTACCCTTTTTATTCCTACATGACTCCTGGGTCTAGTATATATAGCCCTTTAAAGTATAGAAAGCTATAAGGCGT